GCAAATATCCGCGCCGGCGTCAACGTGTTAATTACTGCTTCCTTAAATTCTTAGATTTGTAGATTAGTATAATTCGAAATTACTATCTGTAAAAATCTCTATATCCCAAAACCTCTATATTGCAAAATCCTCATATCCAAAAATCCCTATAACCCCAAAATCCTTATAGTCACGAATTCTTATATCCCAAATTCCCTATGTCCCAAACTTTCAATGCCCAAAAATCCCTAGATCCAGAAATCTCTAGATCCAAAAATTTCTAGATAAAAAACCCCTAATACCAAAATCCTTAGTTCCAAAAATCCGTAGTTCCAAAAACCTCTAAATCCAAAAATCTCTAGTTCCAAAAATTTTTGGTTCCAAAAACCCCTAAATCCAAAAATCCCTAGTTCCAAAAATTTTTGGTTCCAAAAACCCCTAGTTCCAAAAACCCCTAAATCCAAAAATCCCTAGTTCCAAAAACTCCTAGATCCAAAAATCCCTAGGTACATTCTTATATCCCACAATTCCTATGTCCTAATATCCCTATATTCCAAAATCGCTATATCACAAAGTCCCTATATTGCTATATAAAATCCCGTCCCTAAAATCCCTATATGCCCAAATCTTGTAATTCCTACATTCCAAATTTTCAAATGTTCAAATCCTGAAGTTTCGAAGTTTCTAAATTTATAGAATTCTAAACTTCTAAAATCTCCTCAGAGGAATGTAACTTTATTCTTGAGTGTATAGAAATGTCAACTTCGTCTGCTGCAAACATTAACATCCGTTTTCATGCAGCTGCAGCACGTGTTATCGAACGTCGCGCTGCAATATGTTTCACAATTCGTGGTGGTCCATTCGATTATAAACTAAACGGAAACGAAAGACAATGATACGTTTTTCTTTTTTCTTTTCGCTCGGCGCAGTTGTGTAAAGCAGGAACACGTTTTAAGGGTTGTATTTTTAGGAGACTTCCAGGGGTACTTAAAAATACATGTACCGAATTTACCAGTCGTAAATGCTTTAAACCGTTTGTCCTAGCATTTAGGACAGGTATTTTCAAGTTACAAATCCTGATCCACCGGAGGTTCGTATTAAAAATTCAGATATTGGAGGATTAAAAGCGGTAAAACGATGTTTTTTATTCGGCTTTTTTTTATTTGTTTTAGAATAGGCTTCAGATGGGAGTGAGTCAGTTATATGTTGACGTTTGTAAAATGAAGACTGTAGAAACATTTTTGAATTTTGGGACTTTGGAGCTTTTAGATTTTTGAATTATAGGATTTTAAGCTTTTAAAGTATTGGGGTTTTGGGATTTTGAGGTTTAGGTTTTGGGAATTTAGGATTTTGGGACTTAGAAGTTTTTGGAGTTTGGGGTATTGAAATTTTGGGGCTTTAGGATTTTACGTTTTTGGGACTTAGAAGTTTTGGGATTTTGAGGTTTTAGAATTTCAGAATTTTAGGATTTTGGGATTTTGGTATTTTGGTATTTTGGAATTTCGGGATTTTAGAAATATGGGACTGAGAAATTTTGAGATTTCGGAATTTCGGGATTTTAGGAATTTGGGATTCCCAAAGATTATGAGGTTTTTGGATTTTAGGAATTTGGGACTTAGAAGTTTTAGGATTTTGGTGTTTGGATATTTTGAGATTTTGGGATGTTACGATTTTCAGATTTTAGGATTTTTAAATTATGTGGTTTTGGGATTTTGAAGTTTTGAAATTTTGTGATTTGAGGATTTTAGTATGCACAGATTTGGTAACATTGAGACTGTAGGAATTCGAGACTTCATAAATGTGATATTTTGAGCCTATGGAATTTTGAAATTGTTTAATTTTATCATTTTAGTAGCTTAAGACTATGGAGCTTTCTACAATTTTCACATTTTTAAACATTGGATTTTGAGATTTGGATATTTGAAAATTCGAGGATTTCAGACAAAAAAATTTGAAAATTTAAATCATTGAGAATTCAACAGTTTTGTGTCACTTTCCCTACAATTATCATACCTCCTTCGGCAAACTCCGTGACTATTCGTGTGCTACATTAATACTGGCAATATATCTAGAGTCTACTGAAATTGTACGATCTGCAGAAAAAATGAACTATAAACTATCACTGCCATCATTTTACAAAAAAAAAAAACAGAATATAATCTTATAAATAACTGTAAATTTTATGAAATCCACAAACTTTAAACCATTAACCACTTACTATTTTTGAAATTACTAGAACGTAATAAAAAGTGATACCGTTTGATGAAATTAGAATAGCAGGCCGTGTATTTCGGGGTTGTTCATTTGCAGACGCTTTTGCTTGTAATTCGAGATCAAAGTGTAACTAAAAAAAGGACGTCTGTACGACCTAAATTTTCTTTAAGTTGTTTGTGTTGCTTAGTGCGGAATGTTTGTCTTGAAAAAAGGTTCCTTCGAATGTTTTTTAGCGTTTCCGAAACACATAATGTACGGATCGAGCGCGTATTCTTCTTTCAAAATATTTTTTTTTTCGCTGATCTCCCGACAAAAATACGAGCTATCTTCGCTGATATCTTTACAAGATCAATATCTTCGTTATTTGATCTCTAAAACAGTACGATAATAATTATTTACGCCTTCGTAAGTATGTAATAATCATTGATTTTATTTAGTGCCGCAAAATTTATTTATTTATAAAAGACATTATTTCGACTAGAATTATTTTGTTTCTGTCAGTGATACCATTTACTTTAATTTAGTATTTGATACAAATTTTCTTTTTTTTTATTTGTTTTAAGAAATTTTTATTCATATACATTTTTTTAAATATTCTCTTTTAACAATAATTCACACATCTTTTTTAACAATTGATGGCATCCTATGCATATAGATTAAAATCATATCAGAAAATATAAGTATCAGGACTTTTCCGATATAAACAAGAATGATTTTTGTTTAAAAAATAATATTTGACTTTAGTTAATCCTCCGTTGTATTATTTTTAAATCACAAATCATTGTTAATTTAAAAGTTTTAAAATTTGGAATTTTTTGAATTTTGTTTTGAAGATCCGAAATTTAAAAATTAAAAAATTTGGAGGCTTGAAATTTTAGTAATTTGAAAATTAGGGAAGTTGGACATTTAGAAATTTGGTAAATTAATAATTTGGTAATTTGGAAATTTGGAAATTCGGGAAGTGGAAAAGGGAATTTCGGCCGTCTTAGACAAATTTAGTAATTTAACAATTTAAAAGATTATGAACTTTCAAATTCGCAAATTCGTATATCCGAAAGTTTACATAACCCAACTTCATACAAACTTTAAACATGTGCCTATCGTACCGAATGATAAACACAACCCCCGCCAAAATACAACAAAAGAAGCTTGTAAAGTTCCACGAACATTTTTATTCTCCATTCCAACGAACATTCATGTCAGAAATTTTTAAACATATCTAAACTACTGTTCGATAAAATCGTTAGTTTCTTTTACGATTTTTAAAAATACAATTTTTGTGTCTACCGTTCCATTTCGGTTCAACTCAAACAATCAATAATTCCGAACGAGAGAATTTTGCACACTCTATCATTCAATATTTTAATATTTATTTAACTCTTTGAGGCACATGATTTTAAAGTAAATAAAAGCCTTAGTTGCATCGAACATTTTGGCATTATACATTATATATACACAATATATATTTACATATTGTTATTTGTACGTCTTTAATTCGGAGAAGAATAAAATGTCTTTATCTTCAGCATCAGCTTTAAAAATAAATCATACTAAAGTTATTAAGTCATAATGAAGTACTGTTAAAATAGAAGCTACTGTAGCTACTGAATAAGCTGCAATAACATCTATTACTCAATACAAGATATATTACTCATTTATAAATCATTTTTTATTGATATTAAATGTTAATTTTGTTCAAAATAAATTTTAATTTTCTAACAGTTATTTTGTCACAAATTTCATTTGCAAAAATTTATTATTTTACCCTGCACTTTTTAATTATTTAAATATTTGGGGTTTGATAGTTCCAAACACTCAAAAGTCAGTACAGAACAAATTTAAATCTTTTAATTGGCAGAAAAGGAAATGTGAAAAACTTAGCTTTTAACTTTGGTAGTGTAAGCATTATTTCATTCCGAAGAGATTACTGAATGTAAACACGCGACTAGAATGTAAGAGAAATACACTTTATTTAATTACATATTCAAAATGTATGCCGCCATCCATCACGTAATATTTCGGTCTTTTATTTCACATTTCCTCTTCTGTAAATCGAGTAATATGTTAATAAAAATATCATGTAATATGTGTTTTGAATTCGTCTCGATAACTATGAATAAAAAAGCTATGAATAAAAAAATGTATGTTCCTATATAAAAAACCTGAGGTGACCTTGACTTTGCCAAGAGAATAAACTGTTTTAAAAATTTGTTTTACTAATATCTATTATGCACTTCATAGACTGCAAATATTATTCTAAACTTTTTTTTGTAAGGTGGCTGCAAGTGGGAGAAAATCGTGAGTAGCGCTACAGGTAACACCCTGTATATCCCACCATACATCAAAAACTAAGCCAAAGGTGGGACAGTTTTTAACCCATCTAGCCCTAAAGAGTTAAATGCTTTCAGATTTAACCGTGATAATTTATTACGGAATAGATATTGAATGTTACGAAAAAAATAGACAAAAAATTTGAATTCTGGCGTGCAATTTAGATTCACTGGGGTATGTAATACCTCTCCGGTGACTTGCAAAATGGATGAAAGAGCTTTGCTGCGTCGTGAAAACTGTTTTTACTTTCCTCCTCGGCAAATCTACCGTGGCAAGGCAATAAACGATAATGTAAAGATGTTCTTGAAGAATGAAAGCAAGCGTTCCTGAAAAGAAACCTTTCACTCTGGCAAGCTCAAACGGATGTTGCACGGAGAAATTGTAGATTGTAGAACCTAGTCACTCGTTTGACATTTTTGTTTTACGAAGAGTTTAATTCGTTTTTTACGTACTCATATTTTCCCTGTTGCTTTCAGGGTGGTTTCGCCAAGGTTTTCTTGATGACCGACGTCAGCAATGGGAACGAATACGCCTGCAAAATCATTCGAAAAAATCGAATGCAAAAAATTCATATGCAAAAGGTACGGTTTATTAATTTCTCGTGTTTATGTAGATCTCTTTTTTTAACTTTTGTTACATAAATACTATTAGTATAACTCTGAAGAAAAGCATATTACTCTTCAAGTTTTCTCTGACTTAATTCCGTTTAATTGTTTGCTTACTTTATTCTCAGAATTATTTATTTTTGTAGAATTTCATGTTCACTTGATTGTTACTTTTATTGCGTACACCAACATAATTTGTTGCAAACGTTTTCAAGTTTCTTTTCCGAATTCTGAATGTTTCCTACCAAAAGTACGAAATCCAACAGTCACAAATTCGATTACGTCCGTTCAGTTGTAATCAATCAGACAGTTGACTTCGTTCCAAAGAATTTTTGGAATCAATTGGATAATCTTCAAGCGCCTAGATATCGTTGTAGTCATAATAGATCTATTAATAAAATTCTTGCATACAAGTCGTTACATTCTGAAAATCCTACGTCTCCGTTACGTAAACATACCATAACTCTATGAATAATTCATCATTTGCAATTTTCACTTTTTGCAAAGTTATATAAACATTGAATCATTCAGAATTCTTTACGCTGTGATTCTGCATTTATCACACGAATTTCTTTATTAATTACGATGATCCCATCAGGAGCCCCATCAAGATCTCGTGCGCAATAATTAACAACAAGAAGACAATAATAAAAAGAGAAATGACAATATATAGTTACTCATGTACCGCCATTAGTATAATCCGTTTAAGTTTTACAGATGACATCAAATGACCCCGAGAATAATGATGATCTGTTCGTTGCAGATCGCTCGCGAGATAATGATTCATAAAGAGCTGAACCACGTGAACGTTGTCCAACTGCATCACTACTTTGAGGATAACCTTAACGTGTATATGCTTCTGGAAGCCTGTCCTCGAAAGGTATCGTATGTCTGTTACCTACCTGTTTCCAATGTTACATTCTCTCTATACATTCGCAAGAATTTCCCAACCTTTTCCTTTCTAGCCGAGCCAACATCTAATCCTCCTTGTGTACGTGTGCATGTGTATGCGTTCGAAGAATGAAAAGAAGTTCGCTTACCTGTTAAAGTCTCGCTCTTTCAAGGAACTTCGTCAGAAAGATCAGCAAAAGCTGAAAGGTACGAGCTTACGTCCGGCCGTGCAAGAATTTACGGTCCGTTTAAAGAGACAGAATTGCCTGTTGCTCCTTTTCCTTAGCAGGGTCAAGAATACGCTCACCCTGAAATAGACTGCTCTTTCGGCGTGAAATTCTAAGGGAAACGCAAACCTGCTTAGAAAAACGACAAGTTTTCGAAGCTCCTTACAGCTTAAGTCGCGATATTATTGGATAAAGATATAAAATCGTGCGAATAATCTGCTTGAGAACTATAAAATGGGGATTGTTGAACATATTCGAGATTTTATTCAACAACTGAAAGCATATTTTCATTAAAAAACCAGTTGGCTGAGAGATTACATGAATTACATGATATACTTCAGATTTGATAACCATTTTGGCTATATCTTTCAAATGGTTTAACCTATGTAAATAGAAAGTATATGTAAAACTAGAGACCCTAAATTTTCTTTTGGTCCCTTATCTGTTGGAATCCATGCCATAAACTAGGAGGAAATTGAGGGAGAGCCGATTCATGATTTTGATATTAGGCTCTGGCAAGAAATTTTTTCATCACTCTTTGGATTGTCTCTTTTGAATGGTTTAATTTATGAATGTAAAAAGTATATGATGCAAAATCAGAGACCGTAAGCTTTCTTTTGGTACCACACTTCTTAGAATACGTGGTATAGTTTAGGAGAAAGTCAAGGGAGAGACACAGCCTCTTATGAGATTCTCCGACTGAAGACTATGGAGAAAAATAGGTTAAATTGCCCGTCGCTATCGGTGAATGTGATATACATATTATATGCAATTAACGTTGTGGAGAACCATGCACTCAGTCTTATTTGCAAGATTATTTCCTTGAACGGTTAATCGGGCTCGATTTCCCTTGTGCACGTGTTTCTGTTTAAACGCTTTCAAGAAGTAATAAACAGGTTTGTTCTTATTTTCCGCAATTCTTGCAAGTCACTTGTTTGGTATGTGTTTAACGAAGCAACCATCATGTTCTAGATATTTACCGTTTATTTAGGACGTTTGATGGAAATTGAGGATCTCAACCCTTGTAAACATTTGTTGGAAATTTTCATGAAATAAAAATGATATTAACTTTAATAATAATATTGAGTAAACAGGGTAGTAATACAGTTATCAAATATATTTATTCAATTAATTTATGAAAAGATGAATGACGTTAATAATAATATTCGTATAAAACGTGATAAATCTAGTTATATATAATAAACTTTAGGATATCTTATTATAAAAATATAATTTTTGAAAAGAAATATAATATGTACAGTCAGTCATACAACATGTTAAATCTCCAGTATCCAATTTTTACATTTTTCTATTTATTGTAATAACATTTAAACCCTGGTACAGTAAGATATTTAAGTATCTAACAATATTTTTTCTTTTGTAAATTATTATAAAATATAGATAATTTGAATTTTTACATAGCACTTTTTATTTTAACAAAAATCGTGTTCTTGTTTGACAGAGTTTGATGCACGTGTTGAAGTATCGTGGTAAAGTCACGGAACCGGAAGCACGGTATTACATGAAACAAATGGTGACCGGTGTTGCATACATCCACTCTCAGAAAGTTGTCCATCGGGATTTGAAGCCAGGCAACATGTTCCTATCGGATCGTATGATCGTCAAGATTGGAGACTTTGGCCTGGCGACGAGGCTTGATGGACAGTGCAGACGCGTGTAAGTTTTCTTTTACTTCATTGCTATTTTTACAGTTACATGTACATATCCATCAGAACTTCATCAGATATCATTTTTACTACTAGTTCTTTGTGTTGTATACATAAAACTATGATAATGTATGTAAGAAGACTTAATATGATTTATCTATATGCATAAATCTACTAAAGTCAGAAGGAACCCATTTCAATATTATTCACTTGATACACATAAATAATTTTTTTCAGAAAATTGATTATACAGCTAAATACTTCTACATGAGTAAATATGCAGTTCACCTTATTGTCCAGGACTAGGAATAGTTATTGAAATATATCATCAAATGTTTGACTTCAACATTAAGGACTACTTTCAACTTTTCAGTGTGATAATTTGTGTTGAATCATTTGTATAATGTCTTTTGTTAAATAGAGTGTATAATAATGTTTATTTCATTTCTATTTTGTGGCCAAGAAATGGGACTTGTTTTATAGTAATCATAGTACAATGTGTGTTCATATTCACTTATTCATAATATATTATGCACACTGTTTAATATGGCTTACTTTGAATAACTAAAAAGCTGTGAACAATGTGTCATTAAATGTAACAGGACATATATACGCGTACATCATTGGAATAATAAATGATCAGAATGTTTATGGAAGAAATCCATTTGTATGCATAGGACGATATGCGGAACACCGAATTACATAGCACCGGAAGTGTTGTATAAGCAAGCCTACAGTTACGAAGCGGATGTTTGGGCGCTAGGATGCATACTCTACGCCCTATTGGTAGGGCAACCACCTTTCGATACTGCGACATTGAAGGAAATTTATGCCAGGATATGTAACAATCACTATAGAGAGGTTGACGATACGATAGCAAGTCGAAGTGGACAAGATCTCATTAAATGGCTTCTCCAACCGAACCCTGAACTTCGACCATCCTTGGAAAGGGTTAAGGAACATGCTTATCTCACCAAGGAATATGTACCAACTTCCTTGCCACGTATCTCATGCTTTCAAATGCCACCCCCGTCTATAATCGACCCCATGTCGTCGCCTTCGGCTAACTCCACGACCTCTAGGAACCAGAAGCTTAATAAGATTCAGGTGAAGTGACAATTACTTTATCTATATATAGTGTAGTTATTGGTAGAAGGAATGTTCAACAAGATACGTTCCATTTAGTTATAAACAGGGTCAGATGGACCAAAGTAATGCACTTCTTTTTAAACTTAAAAAACATAATAAATAAGTATTAGTGCATTGACTTTTAGATCAATATCTCAACAGTGAAAAAAAGTGTAATAAAAAAATAATTTTTCTGAATGTTTGAACTTTTTATATAACATTTAGGAAGTAGGAGTTATTAACATTTTTTTAGAAAATGGAATTTGCATCATCCTGCCATATAGGTGGGGTATAATGATTCACAAGTGAAGGTATATTAACATTGGATGGAATATAGTGATATTATCTCAATGTGATACCATTGAATAAAAGTAGTGATACTGTATTTATTTGTAGTTTTTTATAATTTTCTAATTTTGCAACTTCAATATTAATCTTATTTATGTTTCTCCTATTATTTTTAGATATGTAGTAGTTTCTAACTATTTCTGTTGTAAAAATTATTATGATTAATAAAATAATTGTACAGTAACAGGGCATTTTGAAATATCTCTTTGGTGTATCTTTGTGTTGTATCATTGTACTCCAGTCAACATATTTATAAAAATGTGTTATTGTACTAACTTTATGCATATTATTTTGGTACATAACAAGGAAACGTAATTGTTCCTGCTTCTGAAACATTGTTAATTTTTTATACAATGACATCTTTTAGTCATGTTTTACACTTTTAACTTACAGAAGTCAAAATACTATTAATAATTCATTGTGCCCCTTGCACAGTGGAACATCAAAATGTATTTATCATTTTTTTAATCTTTGTTATTGTAAACTGATATACATTGTGTCTGCCCTTCATTATTATTGAAGAAATCTTCTTTCTCTGTGATCAGTTAAAAATGTTTCTAAATGAAGTTTTATGTCATTGAAACATGAAGTGACATAAAAACAAGAAAGGATTTGAATACTTGTACCTCATATTATTTATTATTTATATACACATGATGGATTGCAACAGAAAGTGTTACTTTTGGATTTTTGGATATGATATAAGTGTAATAATTAATGATAACAATAAGAAATGAAGTTACATTTGGAGTATATCTGAAGCCATAAAATAGCAAGACAGATTATAGCAAATTGAATTCAATATTGGACATGTGAGTTACATGAGATTAAATAAGCCTTATATAAAGGCTTACTTGAAGGAAATATTTAATTTCGTTTAAAATAACCAGAAGACAGTGCAAATGTTTTAGTGACAAAGAAAAATTTTAGATTTAATAGCATTTATTAAAAATAAATGTTTTCATTTAACATTTGTTTTTGTTTCATGTTAATTATAGGTTCACACTACACAAGCTCAACAACCATTACAACCACCGTCACAACCACAATCGCCCCAGCAGCAACAGCAACAACAACAGCAACAGCAGCATCAAATTAATAGATCTCAGAAAAGTTTACGGAAAGAATCAAAAGTCATTAGCTGGTTAGCTAGAAAATTTCCAAAAGTGCCAAAATTTAGACAGAGATTAAGCAGTGTCTTATGTCCGGATCACAAGAAAATGGGATACATGGCACAGAGCATGCAAATGCATCAAGCATTAGAAACTTGCATAACAGACATTAAATGCAAGAATAAATTAAATAATCATCCACCAGTAAAAGATATTGTACCTCTATTCATTACTAAGTGGATTGATTACTCTAACAAATATGGCCTAGGTTTTCAACTTTCTGATAAATCTGTCGGCGTTCTCTTCAATGATAACACGAAAATTAGTTACACACATGATAGAAGGTCTGTATCCTTCATTTTACTTATTTTTTGTTCCATTTAACTCTTTGGAGTGAGTTGTATATTCTAAAATAACTGTCAAAGATTACACAATAATTATATATTGTAGATAGTCTATACTCAACTAACTTAAATCAATATGTTACCTTTTAATCCTTTTATGACTGAATTAATTTGCTTAAGAATTTGTAATTTTTTTAGTATAGATAAGTGGCTCTATCTTATGTTTAAAGGTAAAGAAACCCTAGAGATGAGATATTATATTTCACTGATCATGAAGAGATTAAAAGATATTTTAATGTAAACACATTATATATACAAAATCACACTGCAAGGAGTTAGAGGTACTTTTTGTTTTTACATATACAGTTTCTTTAAAAATGTTTCCATTTGCAAAGAAGGGTGGAGTATGTGACAACCGATGACGAAGTAACAAGATATCATAGAGAAGAAGACATCCCAGTTGCTCTGCAAGAGAAACTTGAATTGCTACAACATTTTACCCAGTATATGGATAAATTCATGACTGAAGGTAAATTATATTTTGTATAATTAGGTTAATAAATTAATTTTGAATCAGATGTATATAATTTTAAATATATTTTGTAACTTCGATACCATTAAAATGAATATAGATATAATTGTGACTGCATAGTATATAAATTAACCCTCTGTCAGCACACATGTTTCAATTTTTAAGGTGGTGAAATTAAGAAACACCGAGCTGTGACAAAACAGTCGAAGAACGTTTGCGTACCGCGAATGAGGAGATGGTTAAGAACTGATAAGACCATCGTAATGGAACTAACAGTGCCTCTTTTGCAAGTAAACTTCTTCGAGGATCACACGAAATTGGTTGTTTCCCAGGAATCTCCCAGTAGAGGATATTTAGTAACTTATATCGACACTAGTAGACGTACGTCTTCCTACTGGTTGAATGATATACGAGATTTTGGTTGCACCATGGATCTTTATGATCGCTTGTATTATGTATACAAAGTTTCTAGAGAATTTGCTGAAATGCATAGCAATACGATCGCTTGACCGTCAAAGATACGCCGGAAAATGCGTCGTACATTGAAAGATTGAAATTTTGTTTCTAAAAATGCCCCTGTCTGTTGCGTTAGCTGCACTCGTGCAACTTTAAACGTATACATATTTATTTTTCATTCTCATTGAAAGCATTGCAATTATTTCCTTTGCACAAATTTTCATTATATTCTTAGATTAATTTAAATTAATTTAATTTTTGAGAAATGATCATATATGCTTTTTATTTGGAACCAAATGTCTTTTAGTTTAGTATCTTTTAGATATTTGAGTTTCTTTGTGGGACATACAAACTGTTATATATTTTTGAAAACATTCATTGGATTTATTATATTAAATATTAGACAGAAAGGAGTACATAAGTTACACTTCACGTCTAAGCAGATCTAAAAGTAATGAGTATTAGTTTTACATCGTAGCAACTATTTTTGTACGATGAATTTGATAAAATATAATAGCTAGTATAATATGATATTGAGAAATATTAAAAGAAAAAAGTATAATAATTTTGCACAAGTGCTATATAATTATATGTATGCATATACATATATGTACAAAAAAATCTAGCAATTATTGAACTTTTCTAGATATAAATCGAGTTCAAGGACTCACTGTTGGTTTTTTTATAATTTAATTTATAGATTTAGAATTAAAATTTAAGATGCTCTGAGTGCAGTTGAACGAGAGACATTGTTAAATAACCATAACAAATAAAAAACGTCATCTTTGAATTATTTCTTTTTATAAAGGATAACAAAGGTATAATACATTATGTTCTATACATGACTAGAAAAAATGAGGAAATAGATCATTGAAAATTTCTCAAAACTTTTTGTTGTTTCAATTACAGCAATTAATGTGTAACAATGTACGCACAGTAATTTGACAATTTAACAGTTACTGAATGTAATATTGATGCATTATTGTACATATTTCTGTTATAACCACAGTAATTTAAAGAGATTCATAATAGAATTCATTCACATATAAACAATCAAGTGTTAACACACAAATTCATAGTGTTAAAAGATGCTTTTTTATTGTTATATATTACATTGAGATAAAATTGAATTATTTCTTAGCAGCTTCATATAGTGCAGTAACATTGTTCTTATGTTATTTTTAACATATCATTAGTCATCTGTTTTTTCTATAAGGAACGCAATACATGTATTTGATGCTAATTATAATTTGTGTGGTAACACTTAGACATTGTCTTATGTATCCATTTCAGTTTAGATATTGTGATGATGGAAAATGAACTAATATGCTTCCAAAATGTCTGCAGTATTCAGTAAGCTAGCAAGAGCATCTTTAAGTAGTTCGTTTTCATATAAGTGATACAGTGCGTAAAGAATTATGGTATTTGCAAGAATTTAAATATGGGTCGTCCAATTTATTCTCTCTGTTGTGAGTAGCGTAATAACAAGAACAATTGTATCAAACAATGTGACAAAATAATTATTTTAATATTTAACTATAATAACAACACAATTTGTGATAACTAGAAATGAAAGAAACGGAAAAATGTGTAACGTGTTTTAGAAAGGAAAACATAATGCCAAGCATTCATAATTCAAGTGCCTATAATTAAACAAGCTCTTTGTCTCTATGTAATGTAAATTTAGACTTTGAATGTATTCAGTGTAGAAAAGCGTGATTAGTTGGATGAACATTGAATACTTGAAAATGAAATAGAGCCTAAGTTGGATGACCCTGACGTAAATTATTCTAAATTGCATCTGTCATTTGATACTATTAATAATGACAATGTAACTTTAAGTGGACCAGTTGAATTGGCTTGCAAACGACTCGGCGCACATTGATTGTTTTTCTAGGAATTTTCCATAGTGGAAAGTTATTTATTACTCTAAAAAGTATCATGCATGACTCAGTCATTAAAGGTATGAATAACTTTGTGAGTTAATGTAGGTACACGACGCTTTTATATCGCCATTCAGAGTATCATCTTCTTTAAAATGTATTTATATAGCATTTACTGAAACAGTACCGCAATACTTAGATTACACAAGACAGACTTTCTGTTTCGGTAAATCTTGTGCCAAATGTTTGGATCATTCATTCTTTAGAACTTTATGAGACATAATTTAATTATTTAGACTTCATACCGTTACTTGTTCGAAAGTTATATGTAATTTATTACAGTGTTTCAGATTTTGAAGAAATGAAATTATACTTATTGAAATTAACATTCTTTTGTAAATTGCCCTGAAATATTTGAATAGGAAAATTTTATATACATATAGTTTGTATACAATTATAAATTATAACTATATTTTGTTCTAAGAAGGTGCTGAAAAGTAGTACTTATGCAAATTTTACATATTTTGCACCTTCTATTAATGTATTTTATACATTTTCAGTTATCATAATTTCTTTATCTTTTATGAGGTCCAAACAAATGAAATGATAGACTGTATTTTGTGTAAATGAACAGCGTACATTGAATAAAATTCATGTTTGTACCGTGCCGTTTTCTCATGGTTTTGATACAGTTCGATATTTAATTATTTGAAATTCGACGCTCATTTGACGCCTCTGTGGTGATACACTAAAATTTAAGCAAATGCGAATTAGATTGTAAGAAATATACACATATTCTGATATACTGGTCCCTGTTACTGGATCTTGTTGGTTTCTTGTTACATGATTGAAAATTGTGTAGAGTTCGTGCAAGTAAATTTGAGAAAAAGCCTCTCACCTGCCTTTGGTTTTTGAAGAATCTAGAAAGAGTCAAGTACACTTCTCTTTAACTAAGGAAAGTCTAAGTTGCACGTGACCTAAAATACAGTAACCCTAGATCCGAGGGACCAGTGTATGTTTTCAAGTTTATACTTGAATTGTTAAACTATGTGTATCTTACATGTATTAAATATTGGAATAGTGATTTTGATTTATAACAAAAACTTAGTTCTAAACGAGAATTATGCGTAGAGTTTTAGTTTTGTTATTGGTTTAAACCGATTTTATTTATCAAATTGTTATTCTTAAAATCATTCGCACGTGCTTAACTAAGAGATCCAAGGATCCTTAGTAATCCTAGTCTTCTTTCTAGATCCTTTAATAACGTTTCGATAGGATAAGAACGAAGAAGATATTGTCATCGACCAACGCCGCAGTAGCGCTTTGTTGCTGTATTTTGGCTGTTATAATAGATATGCTATTTATTATTAATAATGATAGTTATGACGTTACTATTATCATTTGTATTGCGAATACATTTATTAATATTGTTATTGGCAAAGTGTAATTTAAAGTGTGCCGTTGGATGCTTTCCTGGGAATCAAATAATTTCACCGATACTTGCGTTCAAAAATATTTATACAAATATTCATTATTGAATTTGTTAATTTATAAAACAGTTATGCATTTATAGAACACAGTAACATCAATTGATCTCATATAAACGAAGCGAGAATCAGGCTGTGGAATATATGTAATTGTTCGAAAACTTTGTTACACTTATTGTTTTGGTACAAATTAATAAGTTGTGTGTTGAAGTATTGTTACAGTAAATATAGAAGATGGAAAGCATCTATTATTGCTAAAGGATCTCATATGCAATGTTAATAACTTCCTTTTACATGTGTTGCTAGGAGTGCAACTATTATAAAAATTTAAATAATCGTAGCTTTATGTATCAGTTTCATATTTCTTCAACAATACAACGTATATAATTTATAAGCATCATTATGAGTTATTTTTATATTCTCATTATGGATATTATTCTCTATATTTTGTACAATGATCATAACACTATGTATAGCAAAATATGTTTTCCTATATACGTATAAAAAAAAGAAAAGTGTTCGTCAATTTTGATCGACACGAATTATATTCTACTTAGTAATATTTTATTTTTTTTTTATTAATGTTTTATATCGTCAGATATGATGATAAGGATCTCAAATTTATTAAGTTACGCATTTCAAGCGGAGGAAATCAAATATTTAGATATTCAAGGAAAAGATGTACACTTAGACGCAATCTAGGCTTTTCTTGATTAAGAGACTTCAGTGTTAGGAGAGCTAAGGAGATTGAAAGGAAATCCAAGTAAAATCCTAAAGATACTACAGAGAGAAATTCAGAGAAGACAATGTAGAAATCTTAGAGAGATCCAAATAGGGTAATTCCGGTTCCTTTTAACACTATACTTCCTCTTAATTAAGGGAAACCTAAGTTGTAAGAGACTGTACGTGCACGTGTATGCTCTTATTTTATGTACGTGTACAAAATATTAAGGATATACCGTATGCAACAGTATAAAGTAAGCGTTATTAGAATAAAATGCACTTTAACAAGTCGATTGCTTATTACTGGTATGCAATATGGTAACTTCTTTCTAAAATTTACAGTACATGTATATGAAATACGGTGGTTAGTCAGTAGACCTGTAATTAGATATGATGGAAATTAACGCTTCGTTATTGAAGCGTTTTATAAACCTGTGGTTTTGATAAAATACGCGTTTATAAAATATTATCTGGTGAAAGTTGATAAGTTAATTTAAAACGATTGATGTGATTTTATTTCATTTTTTTTTCATGTGTATACACTCGAATATATCCTATGTACATATAAATCCACTTATTTACCGAAAATACAGAATAGAATTATTGCTCCATTCGTTTCTTTCTTATTTTTTTTTATACAACTACTCCTAACTTTTATGAATCTTTGTAAACAACTTACAATTAAAATTTGAATTTGAGTAACATTACAATCCTGAGTATACTTCTTTGTACATTAAAGACAGCTATGCATTTACTTGATAAATATGTATATGTAAAATTGTAAGAAGAAACTTGTACAATGTATAATTTTGTAATGTCTGGAATATGTCTTCTTAAAAAAGAACTTAATTAGAAAGAAAATAGTTACGTATCATAGAATATTAAGAATCTTAATACCGCAAAATTAAAAGTTAATTTAAGCATACATGATTTAAACATTTTTTCAATTAATAACAGAAAACAAATTCTTCCTTTGAAACTGTTAATACTAAAGATGGACTGAAATATTTTATCCTACGTCCAAAATCTTAGTTAAAGTAATAAAATTAATTTTGGACAGCTGAAGAGGGCTACTAAAAAGTAATTACATAATTTTATAATTTTCCTTTTTTCTGGCAATCCATTTCATGTTTATAAGGATAGAGATGAGATTTCAATCCACCTACAAATATTCTCTTAAAATTTTAAAATTCATACTGAGAAACAAAAATTAAAATTTTTGCTACAGCACTTCCAGCAAAGATGGCGTTATGATAAACCTCCATATTGAGATCGAGTTCAATTTCCTGAGGACCTTGTATGCTTCGTGTCATTACCAAAACAGCCTGGGTCGGTGCTGGCCTCTTCAGAGCGAAGCACGATTCTGTAGCACGTTGTACCCCCGGTGGTGCACGTGCTTCCAAGAACGTCATACTGAATTGTATCGTTGACGTTGGTAAATGGTATCCCTTCATTTTGAATAACTCTTCCGGTTTATTTGGCGCAATAGGTAACATGCTGACAAGAGTGATAAAATTGTAGGAATAATGAGACGGTGACTTGATGCAGGCTGCGTCAGCAAAATGACAGGGCCAGGATCGCACGCATCGGCTGAAATTTTTAAACACCGTTACTCAATTGTTCACGCACTATTACATACTGCTTTGAATTGAATATCAGCATGACGTAGGCTTTTTTTAGTTAAAGGTAACTGTAAGGGTAGTGTCATCATATAGTCATAAGGGAATCAAAGAAGTTCCCAGAGAGACCTAAGGTAGAAAGTCTTAGCGTGAATTTAAGGAGGTTTAAAAGAGATCTAAGAAAAAATAGAAGGGGAATATTAAGAATATCCAAGGGAAATCCATAAGAAGTCCCATAAGAAATCTCAGGAAGATCTCAAAAAGATTAAAACCAGATTCTCCTACACCAATCCTTAACTAAAATAAACCTAAACTATATACAATGTGTAGTGTTTACAGAAATGAAACTAGGAAAATATTGATATAATATACCGCTGTATAAAAATACCGGCAAAAATACATTATGCGATATTCCATTCCACGTTATTTAAATTTTGTATATTAAAATTATTGTCTATCTCCAGTTGTTTTGCAATAATAGGTTGATTTAGTTGTGCGCCATATATTGTACTTGTTTGTATGAAATATGATGCTTACTTCTTTCTTTCATGATCCTGATGATAACCCGAAGGACAGTTTATTCTGTTGCAACGATAACTACCTCTCGTGTTATGACAGATCTCGTTCGCGCCTCTGCAAACTTGTCCTCCTTTGCATTCATCGATATCTATAAAAGAAGGAAGAATTATTCACGTGTTATAGTCGGGGGGAATTCAAGGGCACTAGAAGCAATTTGAAATTCAACTAATGGCCCAGATTTTTGACAACTAGGTCAAGTACAGATTGTACTACGTAATTTCAAGATAATAGAGGTAAAGTACGTGTTAATAAACCACTAAAAGAGCGTACAGTTCGTATGATATTTCACCTCTTAAAAACAGCTAGCAGTTTCTAACAAAAGAATTTACATAATTCAATAAAATTAATTGATACACATATCTATATAAAGACAAAAATGTTTTTTGTAAATTTATAATAAGGATTATAAATTTTATGTGCAACTAAATTCGTGACTGCCGTATTTTATTTAATAATCCTTTCATAATTGTATACTCGGACATAGTATAAGTTTCTATTGACTAAAAGCACCAGGAAAAGATGGAACAGTCATGGAGATATAGAGAAAATCCATGGAAGTCCAAATCTTAAAGAGAATCAAAGAGAAATGGAAAGAGCTGAGGACCTAAAAGAACTTCCATCCTAGGTAAAACTGGGAAAGATATGTGCCAGAAGAGATGACAGATTTCACGGTGAATGAAGGAGAGCTAAGATGAGCCACAAACAAGAAGAGCCTAACCTACATCTTTCTGTTCTTACACATGAATGAAAGCAAGAAATTAAATTTCAACACACCTTCGCAAGTACGACCGCTCAACCCAAGCTTGTAACCTTCTGGACATTTACAGGCATAACTTCCCGGCGTATTTTCGCAGATTCCCACGCATAAATTGTTACTTTTAAATTCTGCGCACTCATCGATATCTGTGCACGAACGGTTATCAGGATTCAACCTGAATCCAGGTTTGCAACTGCATCTGTAGCTGCCCCATACATTGAAACACGTATGCTGGCAGAGACCAGGATTTCGCTCGCACTCGTTGATGTCCTGAAATTTTAAGCAAACTGTTATCCATTTATAAACTTAAGTTTCGATGTTAAAAATAACGTTACCTGGCAACTACCACCGAAACCTCCAACACTTTCAAAACCACTGTCACAATTGCAGCGATAAGAACCAGCAGTGTTCTCGCATTTGCTTTTTGGTCCACATACATTTCCATAGAGGCTACATTCATCGATATCAATGCAATCCTTGTTTGGTCCAACAACAAATCCAGGAGGACACGTACAAACATAACCACCTATTCTGTTTTCGCAAGTTTGATCCGCTGTGCATTTGTGAGAACCGGTTGAACATTCGTCTATGTCAACACAATATTGTCCCGTTACTGGATCCAACATATATCCATTACTACATAGTACTCTTGATGTGCACCTAAAATGGAATCATTAAATACTTAGTATTTTAAACTGCATATTCACAAGATTCTTCTTCATACTTGTAAGATCCAAGAGTGTTGATACAACGTTGTGTTCTACTACAAGGATTAGGATTTATTTCGCATTCATCTATATCCACGCATTTTCCTCCAGAAGCAAGTTGGAATCCAGGTGGACAATTGCGCGGACCTTGAGGCTCGAACGAAGGAATGACCGATGTGGGTGTAGTTGTAGTGGTGGTTGTCATGGCCAGAGTTGCAGCGCTGATTCGAGACTGAGGAACTGGCATACGTGGATTACGATCGCATCGATATGACCCAAGAGTGTTCCTGCAATGATAACCTTCACCGCAATCGTGTGTACCCAGAAGGCACTCATCATCATCTTCACAGATTTCTGTGGCGGCGTTTAAAGTGTATCCTGTACCACATGGCAAAAAACGCGTACAGGTGTAACTACCTATGGTATTGTCACACCTCTGTGATGCTAAACAACTGTCTTCCTATAAAAAAATATTATTTAAGTATATAGTTATTATTTAGTACTGTGGAGCAGTAAAGTAGTAATATGTTCATGTTGCAGGATACTACAATACTACCATTTCAATAATTCTAATATACAATTATAACACTATTCAACTTTTTGCTGTTTAACAATTAGTACAATGATATACACAGTTCAAAATAAGTTAAAGTTCAGTTAAAGTTCAAATGAAATTCTGTTGCATATCTAGTGATAGACCAAACGAGTATTCAGTATAATTGTGGGTATCTACATATGTGTTCTATAAGAATGAACATAGTGTTTGATATATAATCATATGAAACTCTTACCTGTGTTTGGCATTCGTTAATGTCCACGCAAGCTTGAGTTAAATTTTCGCGTCTGAAACCAATTTTGCAATTGCATGTGTAGCTTCCTACTGTATTAACACACTCTTCATTACTGCTACATGCATCTTCTATTTCACGACATTCGTCAACGTCAACGCAACCACGGTTCCTGACAAACTTGGTACCAGGAACGCATTTCTGATTTGAAGATGCTGGTACAGGCGTCGTGGTAGTTCTTCTAGGAAGTGGTCTTGGAGCTTTGGCACAACTATAACCACCTGGTTGGTTGTAACAAATTTCACCTTCGCAGCTATCCAATCCTTCTGCACATTCGTCGACGTCTGTTAAATATAATAGTTTGTTTTTAAAAAGTAGTCGGAGGGTTTTCACACTTGAAACGTGTTTTTATAAGTTTAGCAAAATTTATCAACTTGCTTGAGAGTTAAATTAGTAGTTACAAAATAATTGACCCTTTGACATGCTGTAACAAGAGCCCACCGAAATTAAAATATAGAAATTTCTAAGCTATTTACAGTCAAAATATTAATAAATATAACTACATAATATTTACAATGATACGCTAGTTTACAATAACGATAAATAATTTTTTAAAAGAAAAGTAAATGAATTATTAAAAAATTATGATACTATATATTCTATTTCCCTTATAAATAATATAATATTAATTATATTGTGGTTGTGAAAGTATACAATATAAAGCAAACAAAGTACATATAAATTAATAATGCATACAACAATAAAAGCAAATTCACGAGCATGCAAACAATTATAAGTCACACATGTTGTCATAAAGTATGTACTATACATTCCTTTGTGCATCAAGCTTTGTACGATTTTCATCCTGAAAAAATGTTATAAATTACTCAAAATTAATTTATGAAAATACTAACTACGTTATTTATTGTACCCACATTTACTTTTATGAAGTTAATAAATTTAAGAGAGACTAAGATACCACCATTGTACTATTATACTACAAACATTTCAATTTTTCTAAAGTCTGTGAAAGTATACCTGTGCATTTTCTTAAACGAGGATGGTATCTGTAACCCGAAGGGCAAGCTGGTTTCTGACGTTGACGTATAGATGGTGTAGATCTTTCGCACCTAAACAAAGTTTTTTGCAGATAACATTTAAATAACTATTTACGTTTAAGAACTATAACTTTGTTACAGTCACCGAATTGTAATTACTATAAATATTATACAATAATACAATTATTATAATCGCTATACTGTAGATACTATAGGTATTTTTAGTAGTTTAGTATAGTTACTATACTATTGTTACTACAGTTTACAGGTAATAATAGTATAAGTAGTATAAGAAGCAGTTTCATAGGTCAAAATAGTGATAGGTAATACATTCACGAAAACATAGATTATGGACATACTATAGACATCGTCTACTCGAGGAGATTCATAAGTATAATAGACTTTTGTTATATTGCCATAGACTGGATTGTAAATTCAAGTGGAAAATGTCTTGAAACTGACCACATGTAACATTTGAATATTTTGTAATTTCTAAAGAGAATTTGTAAATTCATAAATTTTTGGATTTCATCACTATTAGTTTATATAGAATACATTGAATCTATAAGGTGTACCTATAAGAGCCAGGTAGATTAACGCATCTTTCGTACAACCTAGAGTCACATTTGTATTGACCCGTGGCACATTCATCGATATCTTCGCACCGTGCCAAAGCCAAAGAATACTCGTACCCAGATTGGCAGGAAGGCAATCTGGTTACACACTCGAAACTACCATTTCTATTGACACAATACTGATGTAAGTCCAATCGGCAGGTGTGTAAATTCTCCGAGCATTCGTCGATATCGACGCAGCTGCCGTCGAATGCGTGTTTGAAACCGTCATTACAAGGCGGTATTAACTCGCAGAAGAAAGAGCCGTTTGTGTTCACGCATCTGTGAGTAGTTTGTGGACAATCGTGTCTTCCTAACAGACATTCATCAACGTCTTGGCAACCTTTTATGGCTGGGCTAAAATACCAGCCGGTAGTGCAGAGGGGCGAACAGTCATAACCTCCTAGGATATTGTGACACTGTTCGTGATCTCTGCAACCTGGTCCTTCCGTGCATTCGTCGATGTCCACGCACTCTCCGCTCTTAAAGTCTCTCTTGTATCCGCGATTGCAAGGCTCCAAAAATTGATAACGATCGATGCTCTACAAAGACGATATAACTGTATACTTGTACAGGAATTGTTTGGGCAAAGGTTCAATCAATTATTGGTACCTGTATTTTGTTATTTCTTGTACTTTTTTGCTGTCTAGGAGTTGTGCTTGTCGTTCTTGCAAACGATTCACAAGAGTAAGAACCATTGGTGTTAACACAATACTGAATGGATCCATTGCAAGAATGCAATCCAAGCGCACACTCATCTATGTCTTCACAAATTTCTTCAACTCCATTGACCCCATAATCAGCATTGTTACGTGGTTGGAAACCAGATGGACATGCAGGGGAACATCTGTAGCCACCCTCGAAGTTTATGCACTGCTCCCCAATTCCACAGTTTGATAAATCATTGCTGCATTCATCGACATCTGAACAAGAATTAGATAAGTTAGTTAGATAAGTTAATATGAAGCATTTGTTATTCAATATTGAAACAAAACTATTTTGAGTGAATTGTAGATATACCAACTTTAAATTTCCGGTCAACCGATATTAATACAATATAAATATTTTCTTACCAACGCAACGTGAACTTCGTACGTCAAAAATAAAACCTGTATCGCAAATCGCTGTTTGATTACTCGCTGAAGGAATTGCACTTTGTACTTTGTATCCTCTGTACGAATAGTTATCTTCGTCTTTTTCGTTCGAATCTTTGCCATCTAATAATTCACATCTAATAAAACACATAAATAAACATTTAGTATAAAAACATTTATTCAGTCTATGATTGTGGATTAAACTAACCCGGTATCTGAAGTTACATTATTTTAGAAAAATTGAATAAATTTCCTTTAGATGGTATTTACTAAGTTACATAAACCAATCAACACTGAATTATCAAAATAATTTATCAATAGTAACACATACCTATAGCTACCAATTTCATTGATACATTGTTCGTTTGCTTCACACGAATGTAATCGTTCTTTACATTCATCCACGTCAATGCATGCCTCTTTAATATCATTCGCTGGTTTGTATCCCGCAGAGCAAACCAATGGCTTCGTGTCTTTGCTGACAGGAAACTGAGATGCAAAATTGTTTGGTGTGCATTCATAACTACCTATTGTATTTATACATGTAGTATTTAATCCAACACAAGGATTACTCATTTCAAGGCATTCATTTATGTCTGAAAACAGAGTATATACTTTCAATATGAAAGTAATAACATTTTATAAGGTTGACACTTGTTATATTATTGCATGTTCAAAAATTTGAGGATTTTGTAATTTGGAGATTCCATGATTTGGCGAAAATCATGGAATTAAAAACTAAGAATTGAAAACCTTGCAACTGGAAATGTTTAAATTTCTAGTTTGAAATATATTAGCAAAAGGACAGCAGTTGAGCAATATATTTAGTGGCATTTTGTTTGTCTTGCATAGTGAATTATGAAACAATAGCAAAATCAAATAGGTGCAAACTATCACTTGATCATGCCTATATTGAATCAAAATTTATGTTAACATAAAGCTTGAGAACTTAATTCTTAAGAACTGTTTCTTTGTATTATACAAAATATAAAATAAATTTCATAACGTGTTAAAGAAACCTATTACTCACATGCAGAGAAGCATACATGCTGGATCAATGAAGAGTCAGACGCAATCGTTTAAACTAATTTCCATGTATTTGATATTAAATTAAAAGAATAATTGTCAGATATGAAGTATATTTATGCATGCATATACCTACAGACAAAGTTAAAGTATTAGAAACGGGGAAAAAGTTGTAGTAAGTAGATACTGAATGCAATGAGCAACTACTGTACTACTGAATTTAATAAATGGATAAACGCATATTAAATGAAATAATAATTGTTTTAACAAAGAGCTGTGCAAACTCGAATACTTACCGACGCAGGTACCTAAATTTACATTATAGATAAACCCTTTCTCACATTTTATATCGCACTCGTAAGCACCTTCGGTGTTTCGACATTCCTCTGTACCTTCAATGCAACTGTGAATTGCTTCCGCACATTCATCTACATCTATATACAAAAAATATTATTTTTATGAATCATATAATATTAAAAAATTCAGAAAACTGCAATCGTCGATGAAATTTTACTAGCAACTGTTAAAAATATTACAAGGTAGTATTTAAATATTTTCTTCACATACCTTTGCATTGTTGCGATAACTTATCAAATTTAAATCCAGCAGGACAAGATTTTATTCCTTTCATTTCCAAGCAGCTGAAACTACCTTGTGTGTTGACACAAAAATTTTTCTCTTTAGGACAGGGTTTTGGCAACATTAGACATTCATCAATGTCTGAAAATATACGTAAAAATTTCTATATTCAGTTTATATTAATTTTATAAGAATAATATTGATAAAAGAATATAAGAAGGTAAAATATTTTAATAAAAAATCCTTGTGTGAGAGAAGATTAGTCTTCTCATATGAAGAATACTCTTCTCACATGGTTGCTGTTAGGGTCTCCCTAAATACACCCTATGTTTCCACAATATTGTAGTAATGAGAAAGTAAGTGATAGAAAGACAAATAATATTGTTTGCAACATTTATCCATAAAGCCTACTTTGGATCTTTAAGAAATCATTAAACTTCCAAATCTTACAATATCAATAGCTTACTAGTTAAAAATATGTTAACAAACTTAAAATGTACCTGTGCAGAGATCAGTAGTAGATTCCCACTCATATCCAGGAGGACAATCCTCATACGGTGGACTTTTGGGAATATTCTTTGTAGTACACGTATAAGATCCTATGGTGTTCTCGCACCGACCAGGACAAACTCCTTTCTCTATGCACTCGTTCACGTCTAAGCAATGGGACACACAACGCCGACAAAAGTAACCATGGACATAAGCAAAATCGCAGCGCGAAATCACAAATATGTGGCGTGTAGACAAAGCACGTGTTGTTAAGCAAATGTGCTTTTAGACCATAGCTCTGTGTTTTAAACCTTCTTCAGATCGTGGAATGCGCTTACAAACGATTGTCACGTGATACAACATTAAGCTTTTACATATCAAGTTCAGCATAAAGTGATACTTGAACGAAAGGAATTAATGGCTCAAGGAATTTTTGAAAATCCGAAGAAGGGTTAAGTAAGCTTGAAATTTGTAGGGGCACATGCACATCATACACGAACACTTCTGATCAGTATCTGAAGAGTACTGATGATCTTTTTTAATACTCACCGTCGCAAACTTGATTCGTAGCGTTATAACGGTAACCAGCTGGACAAAGAGCTGCGAATTCATCTTCTTCTGTTGGTACAGTCGTCTTGTTTTCCGACGACTTTGGAATGCAAGATCGTTTATCATTCGCTAAAATGTATCCGGGATTGCAGCTGCATATTACAGCTACCCCATTGTCTGTGCAACGCTGTTCACATGGATTTGTTGATTTACACCTGTAAAACAATGACTTTAATTTATCTTTTGATATTAGAGTATGATTTGAACTTTTCGACTTCAACAAAATTGACGTTATACATTTTTAAAAATATTTTCCATTAATTTGAAATTTGATTTGTTTACTTCAAATTAATTTGAGAGGAAAGAAGTGGTATAAAAGTGGTGGTACAAGTGAAATTGGGGTGAAGTACATGAACAATGAATACCTATCAGTTGGAAGGTCCTGTCTACAAGTTTTACCATCTTCCAGTAAAGTAAAGCCCTCGCGACATTTGCAGTAATAAGATCCAGGTGTGGGAACACAAATATCAGAACACAGTAGACCTTTCATAAGCTGACAGATGTCGTCCAATGCTGAAAATTCAATAATACAAATAACATTACATATTATAAAATAAATGTAAGAGCAATCTTCATTGAAATAACTTTTTATTTTAACAACCTAGTGAATGTTAATAGTTACAGCTAACACAATACTAATATAATAGTTTTATATAATACAAATAACTCAGATAATTTTCGATAAAATTACGAAATCCCAGAACCCAGCAAGGTCTTCTAAACCAAAAGTCCTCCTAAATTATTTTTGAATGATATTAATTATAAATTACACTGCTTACGAGGGGTAGGTATAGATGGAGAAAAAGATGTTGAGTCTGAGCTTGAGTCTGAGCTTGTCTCTGTAGAAGGTGAAGACACCGAAGATGATGACATTGAAGATGTTGATGAGGATGAACTTGATTCAGTTTCAGTAGTATCAGTTGGAGAAGTTGATTCTGAAGTTAATGATGTGGTACTTGGCGATGCTTCGTAACAACACTCCAGAAAAGCAGGGTCCCATGGGTTTCCAAAGCTGAAGCTTTTGAAGGAACATCCTTGGCCCATAGATCCAGTTAAGATACCTAAAATTCAAACATCAAATTTTAAATACCTCATGTTTTCATCTCAGAATTTACAATAACAAGAAATATTTATTAAACGAACTAACAAAACTAATTGTACATTTTGTTTAGAAAATATTTATAAAATATTGTACGATTCTTTGTATAACTGAATTATTGAATTCTCTAATATACATGGATGTGGATGCACTTTATATTTTATATGTTCTATACTTCTCTGTATAACATGTACTTCTACACCTGCATAAACCTGTATATGTTCTACATTTTATATGTGTATACTCTGTACCTAATTTACAGGCTTCACAACAATCGCGATGGTAATCACCGGGTCCAGTACGTTTTGCTTTGGTACTGGTAACACATGCTAAACCAGCTCGTGCATCGGATTTCCCTTTCTTGCATTGTTGATCGTGATACGCCCTCACGCAACAAATGTCTACAGCTTCCAAACAAAGACCTTGTTCCACTGTTGGCACCCCAGGCACCGGTCCTGAGAATTTTTCACAGCCAAGCCCTTCCAAAGCCCACGCAGTACCGAGACCGCAACATTTCTCAAACCGTGCTTCCATTCTGGCCTCGGTCAACATTATCCCTACAAAAGAAGTATCATTGAACAATATTCTTTGAACATACATATACATTATTTCAGCTTCACTGTTTTCTGTTACAGTTTTTACCGTTACGCAAGAGACAATTAGTAACAATTCTAATATTATTGATAATTAGTTTTCATATTTTTCAAACTCTTAATAGCTATAATCTTTTTTACAGTATATTTAATTCAAAATTCAAACGCATAATTATCTTTGTTAAAGTGCTACAGGATGAACTATTGTACTTCAGGAAACGAATTAAGCCATTATAATGAAATAGGGATGCAGATTACTTCAAGGTCATATTTGCAGAAATTTCAGAATATTAATAAGTGATAATATGAGGATATGAACATAAGATTAAAATGATTCAGTAAAAAATTAATAATTATGAATTTGAAAGAAGCTTTCATGATAGTACTCTGTACATACTAATAGTTATTCTTAGATCTAATGTGCCCAATAACCTACTTATACAGTACAAAGAAAAATATTCCTTTCAAACAACTTAATTCTATTGTACTTTTAAGTTTCAAGTGAGTCATATCAATTAAATTATTTAAACGAATAGACTACTATGATTCTGTACGTCTCAATTTGTATCTCATTGTATTTTTATTGCATTAGTCCAATCAAATATTTCATATTAATTTTTTTGTTAAATAATGCTTTGTTAATATACAGAGTGTCCTATTTAAATCGGACATCTAAATTATTAATAATTAATCAGGCTGTCTTTGAAATTATATTCATAATGAGCTTAGGAAAAATTCTTGTTATCTTTAATATATGAAATACTATTTTACTGTATTTACTGTGTGAAATCATATAAGCTCTTTTTGGTTATTTCCTTTTACATTTAATGGTGAAGAAAATTATTAAAATATAAGAATTAATGTGGTACTCTGCATAGACAATATTCATTCGTTTGAAATATAATCTAATATTATATCGCTATGCGTTATATTGCAACGTGAATTTACCACGCGTTAGATTGCCAAGCGTTAGATTGCCGCGCGTTAGATTGCCATACGCTAGGTTACCACGCGTTAGATTGCCACGCATTAGACTGCCACGCGTTAGATAGCCACGCATTATATTGCCATGCGTTGCAGTCACCACGTGTTAAATTACCACACGTTGCACAGCCACGCGTTAGACTTCCATGCGTTATATTGCCATGCATTGCAGTCGCCACGTGTTAAATCACCACACGTTGCAATCTCCACGCATTGCATCACCAAACGCTTTACCTCCATATGTTACATGATTAATCGTTATATCTCCTCGCGTTATATCGCCACCGATTGCATCGCTACGCAATACATTCTTTCGCATTACATCTCATATAATAAATGTACGCATTGAATGATTACAACCCCTATTTATAATCACATTACTCTTTAAAACTAATACAAATGTAATTCTATACGTATTTTAATATTGATGTAATACAATGATACGTTGATTTATCTATGTCTTTCTAACAATGTAAACAAATGCAACAAACACAAATGTTCTATCTAAACGTGATAAGGGTTACTTTATATTCGCATTCAAATCAATGCTTGTGTACAATGTATTTATAAATATGATTCTGCAAGTCTGTTTAAATAGAAGTCTCTATAATAAATCAGTAAGGAGCATGTCATGCAGTTAAAAGGAAAATCATAATTTGTTCAGTGATAAGAACGAAACGAGCACATATGCATGGCCGCTTCATTAGAAAACTACGCATCCCCTTTTTTACTGGTATTACTAACGTTAATTGACATCAATTACGTTTGCATCCTCAAATTCAATTCCAATGACCATTTTATTTCGATTCAAACCTTCGATCACAATTTTACATTTCAAGATTTATTGAAATTGTTCGTTATTTTTAATTTGAATTTTACTTTTATTTATCTTGTTCGTTCATCTCGTTTATCTCTTTATTTATCTCGTTTAATAACTTATAAATCGTAAACTATTTTATTGCTTTATAAAATATTACATTGAACTGATTTCATACAAGTGCACACATTACAACAAATTGTAAGTAGCATATAGTTTTACAAAATACAATTTTTTAAATAATTATAAATTAACCCGCGAACGATGGAGCTAGGGTCAACCGTGACCCAGACCTACGAGACGTATATAACGGTATTGAAACAAACATTAGGTACACAAATCTTTTAACAAGAATTTCATGTATTAAATAATATTCATTGAACTAATAGATCAAAAGTTAGAAGATAAAAATGAAGTATAATACGAAATTACGTTTAAGTTGATATTCAGTGAGATGAAGGCTTCAGAAATTATTTAAAAAATAATCGAGTTAATTAGCTAACAATAATTACAAATATCTATTCTTAATGTAAGTAAAAAATTTAAATGATTATTTTTAAATAAGCGGTTTAATCGTCATAATAATTTTTCAACAAAAGCTGAATTTATATATTTGTCACGTTAATTAAATTTATTATAAGTAATCTTTTTTTCTTGGTAATCTACAACCCGGAAATATTAACTTCTCAAACTTGTTTGCAACTTCCACATCTCGAACATCAATTGTCAACGTATCACGTACATGTTGAAATTGTTTATCTGTAAAATTTATAGAACCCTTTATACGCGCTATCTCGAACTACCAATTCTAAGAAACCGAGCAGTTCACTTAACAAGCATTCCGTTTGTCATCTGTCTATGAGCACCTAAAACTTGTACAAGTCTATTTCAATACTCTTCAACAAACTATGTACGTCCTTAAAATAAGAAATAAATAATACCTCTGCTATGGAAGAACTGTTCCAACTGAACTGCCAGAAGCAAGAAGAAAATCGTGCGTGGATCGTGGAATCGAATCATCTTTCCCGATAAAATCCAATACTTATCTACAAATATCACAACTTTTCATTTATGATTACTTTAAAGATATAATAATAAAGATCGAAACCGTACACGAAAAGCCGCTCCGCTGTTTGGTGCACTCCGGCCGAGCGCTCAGCGTGCATTAAACTGTTCAGTTTGCCGGCACCTCGATTTTCTCTTCTGCACCTTTCTATGTGCATCTCATTTCTCGAATTGTCCTCCTTCATCTTACAGTCATCTCCTTATTCCTCCTGTATTTTCTGCCTCTCTTCGGTCTGCGCGCGCATCTCGTAGCACTCATCTGAAAGTTGGTTTAACGTTTAGCCCTGATAAGATCCTTGGACCCTTTTATCATCTATTTGTACCTTTTTGTAACGTAATCCTTATATTTTTCTCTATGACTCAATTACTTTTGCTTTTCGAACAAAATCATATTACAGAGTTCGTAAATTCACACACAGCAAATTCACATAAGCGGAATTCCACGCATAGCCAAATACCAAATATGGAATTCCATAAATAGCGAAATCCCATGGCTAGAATTCTACACGATGGCAATCCAAGTGTTGAATTTTATATGCAGAATAACCACAAACGTGAAATTCCGTGCACAATTAAATCTTGAAGGCGGAATTCCAGATTCTCTGAAATTCTATGTAATCAAATGCAAAGCAAGACATTTTTTATGCATAGCAATATACCGAGTATGGAATTCCATATTCAATAAAATACCAAGTATGGAATTCCGTATTTATTCAAATACCAAATATTATAGAATTCCAAAGATAATAAAATCACACATGTTTAATTCCAAGTGTAGAATTCGACGTATAGCTAAATTCCAACTGTAGAATTTTACGTACAGACAAATCCTATCTGTAGAATTCCACACATAACCAAATTCCAAGTGTAGAATTGCATACACAGCAGAATTCCAGGTATAGAATTTCACGCGCAGCGAAATCACAAATGTGGAATTCCGCGAACAACAAAATCTTGAATATAAAATTCCACGTATAGCAAAATCTCAAAACTGAAATTCCACACATGGCAAAATCCCCAGCACAGAATTCCATATACAATAAAATCCCAAATGTGGAATTCTACAAATCGAAATCTTAAGTGTGAAATTCCACTTACAACAAATTCCTATGTGTGCAATAGGTCATACATTTTATATATTTTATACGACCCTGAATAGTGAAACACTAAACGTTGATTGTGAGATTTAAATTCGTAAGTTTTTATTTAATTATAATAGTACAAGTTTTAATTTTTAATTTGTATTATAGTATTAATGTATTTTTATATTAAAGATACAATAAGGTAGTATATACATATGAAATATACGTATAGTGCTTGAGTACAGCGATATCGATATAAAAAACAATTTTACATTTATATCTATATCTGTGTTCAGTTAAAAATTGGATCGATATCGATATATTTTATGATATCCAAATATTCGATACCGAAGACCGCAAAAAGAAGCATCGATAAATATCCAAATTTTTAGCACAATCGAGTTTCGATATCAATTTTGTTGCAATTAACTATCAATACGAGGAAAAGAATCGAATTTCCCAAGTACTTTATGAATACTTTACATTTATTTATTGTGTTTGTAAGCAATTAGTGGTATAATGTTCAAATCCTGTTAAGTTAATTAATTATTAATAGTAATTGTACAATTGTCAAATAAATATCGATACTTTCGTAAAAATATCATATGTATCTGTCCTTTCGAAGACGTACCTAACAGGTATACTCTTTAATACCAACATTTTTAATACTACTCGAAACAAGTACCAACATTATGTAGTCTACATAACTCGATGTAAATCATTTGATGCAGTGACATATCCCAATTTTATAGAGTTTACGAGGTTAAATATTTGAAATCGGAATAGCTTTGTACATTAGAAATAACTGCCACGCATTCATTTTTAAGAACCCACTTTCGGAACCCTATTAGCAAAAAGCACACATCTTGCTGTACTAATTACCAAGGAACTAAATATTGAGTTACATAATTGTCTCAATAAATGTGTAATATATCTAAATGCGTGAAATGAATACGTTAGTCCCATTGCTATTACGTACCATGTTTGTATGTTTTTTCGAAAGGAAATCCCCTCCAAGAGTTTCATCGAGAGCATGTTCATCATAGAACTCGTGACTTCTTCCGTGGCATGTGTTCCCCGCTTGATGTCAGCACAAAGATCCTTTTTTTGTAGATGTTCCAGGGACAGTAGGCGCCTTGTTGGTCTCGCGAATTTCCGTACCACCCGCAGGGGGGCGATTCGTGTCGCCCTTCGTCGACTCCGGAATGAACCGAAACGTTTCCGCTTTTTATCGATCGCGATCCGGAATTAGCACGATGAATCGAAACAGGAACGATTCTTACAACCAGGGAAATATCGAGAAATATTTTATTATTATTTGCAAATGATTACCTCTTTAAACGCTAAAAATGTAAGACACTGATTTAAATTTAATTTTTAATTTTTTATCGTTCAGAAAATTCGTTCCGAAACTATGGGTAAAATTTTAAAAGGAAAAAGTGTATAGTGAAATTTTTGTGTTTGATATGAATAGGAATATGAGGATATAGAAATTTAGGCTTTTCAAAATTTGGGAATGTGAAGATAAAGGATTTGAGAAAATTATGTTGAGAATTTTTAATTGTAGAATTTGGAAATTTAGGCTCTTGCAATATTTGAGAATGTGAAAATGTAGAAAAGTGATTTGGAAATAGTAAAATGTAAAAAGCTAAAGATTTTCGAATCTAGAAATTTATTCTTTCGACATACGGTAATTAAAAAATTTGTATTTTGAAAATCTGCTTAGAAGCTTGATAGCACTCCGATCTAACATTTCCGCGTTGAATTGCATCTATGCAAGTTATACTTCAACAATATTTTAAATGACAAAGACGAATTTTCAATTGAGACGAGAAAGGGGAATAATAATATTTACGATCGACCGTTGCAAGGTGATAGAGGGTTTTCGGTGGCAAGGCAAGTGGAAAGTATACACCACCGTTAAAGTCGTACCAGTCGACCAACAGCCGTCACCAAGTTAACGAGGTTATGACCGTGACACGCGCAACTCGGTGACGATCGTGTAACACCCGGGTCACAGTGTCTTCTATTGTGAAAAAATCGAATATTTCGCCATCAACGTCGTCGGCGTCTGCACACTTACGCATCGTCTTCGAATCTGAAGCACCTTTTTTTCCATCCTCTTCAATGGCAGCATATGGACAGTCTGCTTGTGTTCCAAGAGAGAACCAAGTGATCCAGACAAACATCGCATAACGATGATATAATACGAGGAAGGTAAGGAATTTCTTAAGAAGAAACAGTAAATAGTAGTTTAAACTATACAATCGTACTTAGGCTTACGTCTTTTTTATTTGCATTTTTTTGTATTTGTATTGGCAGATCGGTAATATACGAAGATAAGGAATAAAAAATATTTGTGACAGTTACTTACATTTTTACATTTATACTGCAAATATTTTAATTATGAATCACTACCTATATGCATAAGTACTTATATATGTATTTATGTACGTAGTGTGTACTCTGGCGAACATAGTTGTGTTCTCTGTAACATAGCATGTGAAGAGGACCACTTGTTGATTTATACTTAGGAAAATTTTTTAATTTTTGAAGTTACGAATTTTTCGATTCGTGAATTTTGAATTTAGAATGTTGAGAATTTGAAGAAAGTTAAAAATTAGGAAGCTTTGGAAAATTTGATTTTTTGGTATTTAAGAATTTAGAGATTTTAAAAATTACGAAGTGAGAATTTGATAATTTAGAAATGTAGCTATTTAGAAATTTTGAAATTCGGGAATTAGTAGTTAATTCTTAAAAGCTATTTTAGTTATTTTGAAACTAATTAATACCTAAATGCGAAGTACGATCGTATCATTCTGAAAATATAGTTTCGAATACATTTTCCATCAATTAATAGGCTAATATTCGAATTATAAATGCTGTCATCGATGTCTTGCTGCTGCTGCTGAACGATAGATCGATATTATTGTTGAGCCTAAGAGTAACATATGACTTTATCGTTTGACCAAAATTAATAATAATATACTTTCCTAGCGCGCATCTTTTTAAAATAAAGAAGAAATTTATGCCCGAGGTTTTTTAATATATACTTACCCATTTTACAGATTAAATTATAACCTAACGAAAAAGTGGTAGGCATAGAAAAGCAATGGTGTAAGTTGAAGCGTCGTAGCCATCTTTTAATCTTATTCTTTTTGAATGTAATTCTTAAGGTTGCAACTATTAAACTAAATAAAATATATTAACATCTTTAAGAAACATAACGCTGATTTCTGTTAACAAGTCAATATTATTCAATTTTATTTGTTACTAAAATTGATTCAGAAACTAATACATTTTATTGTATTCATAAGAACGTCTACTCTACTGCGCGGTGTAACTAGGTTTTACATTGCATTTTTACTTTTCGCGACGAATTAAAAAATGTACCAAAAATTGAACTGCAACTGCAACGATATTTTAAATATATTAAAATATTTGTGAATATAATAAAGATTTGGTATTACTTCAGGGATAGTTTGTAAAATATTTTTTTTAAGTGGGCATTGTATAGTTTCTATAGGTACAACACAAAATTTATTATAATGCAAAAGTTTAAATATTTAAAACTTAAAAGAAGAAATATCGTACAAAAATATATATTTGCATGAACAATGTTAGCGTACTACTATGTTGCCACAAAATTATGAAATTGTGATACAATTAATAAGAAATAAGACACTTTATAATAGCTGAAATTTTTAAACGTATGAATTTTCTTATTAAATATTATGTATCTATGCATTAATTATAAATAAAAAAATTCCTGAAATTATTAATAATAACGGCCTTATGTAATTGTAATTAAAAAGCGTGCTATTACTTATAAAATGTCATATAATTTTAGAATATTAATACAGTTGTTTCAAAACGGAATAACTTCTCATTATTAAATTCGTAAAAATAATGATTCGATCGTCGTTTTAGATATTACTTTTCAATCCATAATTTAATAGATAAAGTATAATTTTATATATTATATACAATTCAATCGAACGATATCAGAAATTGACTTCACAATAAATTATTATTAATAGCAGAACATAAGAGAAAATTTGTTTACCACAATGAAAGTTGCATTAAAAAAAAAGAATTATTACATCAATACAATTAAATTTAATTTAAAACTCATTTTTAAAATTCGCTACAAGACAAATTTAAAATCTAGCAGGAAAAATACTTGATTTAAATAAATAATTGAAGAGATAATTTTTTTTTGAAACGTCGATTATCCAAACAAGAAGTTCCAGTACATAAATGTGACTATTTACAAATTTTCAAAACAGAAACCTGATATTTATTTCTTTCAATTACACATCCTACATAGAGGTAATGATTGTAAACAATATAATTTTAATAAGGAATCATAATAGGAACGAAAATGAATAAGTACAAAAGAAAACAGTTATTACAAAATAAATTGAGTATTTTCTATCATAAGAGATAATTAAGGTATAAAGGTAGTTGTACAAAAAACAATGAAATTCCAAAAAATGAATATATTATATAAATAGCTGCTAAAATTCTCCGAACTTCGTTTTATTTACTACATTAATTTCTCTTCTTTTTCTGTTTCTCATATAAATACTTATTCAATCTGTATGTATCTATATTAATAAAAGTGCATCAATTGAAGCTCTTCAACCACATTTCATTACACAAAATAATTACTAAATAAGACTAAGAAAAATATAACTAACGTGAAATACGAAGTTTATCTTTTTTTTTTAATTCGGAAAATTTTTCAATTTTAAACATACAACCTCGTACAACTTATTCATAAATTTGTTTATTTATCTGCGAAGACAGCTAGTTTTATGTTAGGCTATTTCCATGTCTTAACATTGAAAATGACAGGAGTGTTCACCACCCCCTTTCCACTTAACCAAATCTATGTTGGGCCTGAGTGTACAGTGTGAATTTACTTTGATTAAGGAAAAGGGTAGGATGAAGATCCTCTCATCATTTATTCTTGATTTTTGAAGAACTGTAGGAAAAGCTAGGGAGAGCCAGGGGAATGCTAGGTGGGTCTAGGGGGATTCTAAAGAAAGTTGGGGAAGGCAAAAGGTCTAGGATAGCTACCAAACGCTGTAGAAGAGTCAGGGAGAAACAGGAGAGTTAAGGTAGGGAGAGTCAAGGGAATCGAGGACAAACTTAAAGGATTTCTAAGGAAAGCGAGAAGTAAAAATGTTAGACAAAGTAACAGAATTGAAACAAGAGATAAGGAAATTCTAAAAGAATCCAAAAGAATTCTGGGGAAAATTCAAGGAGGGAAAAAAGTAAGGCTCTAAGTAAAGCCATCGCTGGTCAGAGCTTAATATAAAATTTTGTCTTCGCAGATTAAAAATTTGAACAAATAATAGGAAATTAAGTAAATAGGAAATTTTTCTCTTTATATCTCCTCTTCATTAAGGGATTCCTAAGTTGTACGAAACTGTATCGAATGTACCATATTCTGGCGAAACCCTATTTATTAAACAAAAGTTTGGCTCCGACAACAGTTCGGATAATCGTCGTTTTGTTTCACATCCCTGATTCCCTCAACACCAATCAAGCATTTTTGTAACAAATTTTGTACATTTCACGAATATAAATAATAAAATGATGCATGTTTAAATCTTATATTTACCGCTATGAATTACATCTTTTTATGATCATTCCTCTCATTCATCTTACTTCTTTGTCATATCAATTTTTATTTGAACTCTCAATAGAATTCTTACAGCGAAGAAAATCAGGAAAACAATCTGGTGCATTTAGAAAGCAATTTTTTATAAACGAATAAATAATTATTTAAGAAAAACGTAGAAAAATAATTGCTTGTTTAAAAATTGATATAACAATATATTTTTTTCTTTCTAGATGATGTAAAAAGTAAAAATATGGGATAAAAATGTGTCCGATTCTTGTATTAAAATGTCTTATATTCATTGTAATCTTATAAGTAGTTTCAAATATAAAAACTCATTCCTATCTTAAACTGACAACTTTATTTCGTTCATTTGCTGTATGATTGCGTGACACGAGTACGTCGATTGATTTCAAAAAATGCTTACATCCAATTGTTTTTACGTCTAGTCTGGCTCATTTTCGTTTCTGGACTTAGGTGTCCTTTTGTGCGACCATTATATCAAGTCGACGCAGGACTTTTATGTCACGTTAACGTTTATTTTGCAATAACGTTGAACATTTCCAGGACAGTTGCTGGTAAGTTTCACAACAGAATACATTCTGTATAAGAGCGCACCAAAAAGTATTCTAGGAGGAATCAAATAATTATTAACTTTTTTCAACATTAACTTGTACCGTACAAAAATAGGATTCTTATTCTAGAAGATTTTTTAAATTCATGCTAAATAGACAGATTATCCTCTTAAGTTTGAAACTGGTTTTTATCCAAGATCCACTAAACCAATTTCACATTAAAAACGTTTCTTGGATAGTAATCAAATCAAACATATAATTAGTTATCTATTTTTTTAAGCAACTTAATTATTTGATTTTTCCTAGACTCCACAGGAAACGCAGATTAGACTTTTAATAGAACCTTTTTATTCGCACCAAGATTTAAAACTGACTGCAATGTGTTCCTTCCTTGGCACATCGCTGGAAATATAACAGGGTTGTGATCACTTCTAGTTCTAACTTCATCTTTGGATTGTAACAGTAATTTGAAAAGATGCTGTTAGAATTAGAGGTTTGCGACATATTTTTCTTTTCCAAATAGCAGAATGTAAACGTAAAATCTGGAAGAATAAGAACGAGGTGGCTTTTTCGTACATTGATCTTCATTTTGAGCGTGACAAGTTTCAATTCTTCTCCAGACAACGTATTAAATTAATAAATATTTATTTCTCTATACACGTGGAATAGCAACATCGCGCCAGGTTTAGTTAAAATTATAATTTTAAATAATTAAAAACGTACGTTTACAATACATGCCTTTTACATTGTTACTGTGGATAAAAAGATTGAAAATTTAACTGTGTTAAAAATGTTACATCAAACTAATTGATTACTACAGAGAATGTTACATAATAACGCAAACATATTCATTATCATAAAATAGAAATATCTAATCAGTAATATGAAAAATAATGATTTTATCAAAAAAATAAGTAGGTTGGAAAAAAAGAGGACTCATATGTACTTTTTACACACTTTTGTACACGTTACTATATTCTCCGATATGTTATCAGTCTACTTTCAAAGTAACAAATTGAAAATGTATTAATTTATTTATAAATCGCAAGTGTATAGTAACAATTAGTTACAATTTTCTATAAAACTAGTATTTAATTGTTTCAAAAAAATAAATCTCTCAGCGAGGAAAAGTGAATGCTCTATATCTGTGGTACTGTCACTCTCAAAAATATCTAGAACACCTCGTTCCGGAAGTAATATAATGGAACAGATCTTCGTGACAAAACAAGATGAAAAGAACACCTGTCCACAATCTCGTTATACCTTATAATTTATTTACTCCTTACTGTAATTGTAACACGATGAAGCTGAGCAGGTGTTCTTCATCGTATACCTACTATATAGAGAATGACTAGGCCATATGAATATAACTTAGGAATTCCGGTATTATTTAAAGAAAAGAAAAAAAAATGGTACTGTGTGAAACCTATCTAATTTATTATGTAAGACCGTTTTTTCTTTAACTTCGGCACAATCGAGCAAACATTATTTTATACACGATTTCTATTTGCGCCGATAAAGATTAGGTCTGTTAAATTCTATTTCCTATTTTATTATTTCCCAATGTCGTCCCGAGGTTTATTCATATGGCTCAATAGTTTTTGTCCTGCACACTTCATCTATTTTCAATCAATCTGATGTGTATTTTCAGCGATTCTTTTTCAATGTCTATGACTGTAACCATTGCTGTGAGAAACAAACTTTAAATTCTATTCTGGTTCTTCGCCATCTGCATCTGTAATATAAATTATTAAAATGAAATAAATGTAACATTTAGGAATGATACAATAAAAGTATAAATATTATGTGTACCTTCACGATCAACTTCATCGTCTACTAATAAATCATCCTCTTCGTTAACCCCATCATCTTCATCATTCACAGCCTCTTCTTCCTCTTCATCTTCATCCACATCATCTTCAACCACAACTATACTATCATCACCTTCCTCGCCTTCCCCTGCTTCATCTCCATCATCTGCTCCACCATCTTCTTCTTCCTCCTCCTCTTCCGTGTCACAATCTTCGCCATCTCCTTCAACACCATTTTCAACATCCATATCTGGTGCCAAGTAATACTAAAAACAAAACAATAAGCCATTAGGAGATGAAAATATATCAATGACTAAAATTTGTTGGTTGTTATAAATAATAATCCTACCTGCAATGGATTAGGCCACATATCATCTTTAATTAACTCTGCTATTTCATCTGAACTTGGATCTCCATGATCCGTAAACCAATCGAAGAATGACCTGTGTTTCAGTGGCCTTTTACGACCTTTCAGTGGGGCTTTGGTTTTTGCTCTTTTTGTTAAATCTGCACCTTCTTTCCAACGTATAGGTGTACTTTGTGACGCTGGATCTCCTGCAAAAGAGCAGGAGATACATCAAAACTATGACTATTCAACAAAAAATTCAGCTACTATTCTAATTAAAACTCTACTCTAAAATAAAATGAAATAAAAAATATTTATCCAAATGCAATAAAATGTTACAATCAGAATTAAATAAAAATAAAGAAATAAATTTTATATCTATTAAAATAATTTAATATTATATTTAATAAAAGTAGCTTTGACAGATAAATTAAAATAATAATATCGTAATTTAAAACTGGGCTCACCAGAAGAACCTAAATGAAATTCTTTTGTAAGAACATCATTTTCGAAGTATGGATTTTCATCAAAATAAAAATTAATTCTATATCCCGATTTGATGTCTTCAAATTCTTCAACTTCTAATTTGTTTAAAAACCGGAGTGCATCTTCCTCGTCTTCTTCCAATATTTCTGCTATTTCTTTATTGTTTACAAACTGTATACGTATGCATAAATGGATTAAGGAATTTTACATAATATTTTATATATATACAAAAAAAATGATATGCTAAATTCAATGCTAAACTATGAAGTTCATCGTACTTAGAATGATACACGATGCTATGTTATTAACATATTATTCTCAATATAATTTCATTCATCTTGCAACAAAACAAAGTCTCTCAAATTAAATTACTTTAACTGTAAATCTTTTAGCGTTTTAAAATGTTCTATAGTTTATTATTATATTATTAAAGTGTTTTGTATTGCAGCTTGCAGTACATAAGAATATTATATAAAATAGTAATAAAATAAAGGTGTAGCCAAATAAAACGCTGTATTTCCGCGACAATGTTTTTGACCGATAATTTTCATAAAAAATAATTGCGTTTATGCTACATTCCGCGTGACCGCATGTGGTTATACATAGTTATATACGTTTACAAGTAGGCAAGATGGCGACTAGCGCCGGTGGACGCCGGCATTGTCCAGAAACGTCAAAGATACATTAATAACTATAATTAACGAGAACATAATGTCATCATATGAAAGGATACAGCTGTAACCCAAAAATTGGGTATCCTCTTAATAATGTCATTCCGCTTCTGGAAGTAGGGCTTACGCAACTTATTATACTTCTTTTCAACTTCGAGGATTTCGTCGCTGGCCTTCTCATTGAGGCCATCGATTTGATTCTGGCACCCGTCAATCTCTTCGAGTGTCTTCTGTATTTCAATATCGTAATCACGAGACTCAACACCCTCGCCCGAGCCTGGATCCTCTAATTCCTTGGCCTTTTTATTCGGCGAAGACATCGTTCAACCCGCGCTCTTGTCACTACACCACTACTCTGTTTATTTTCAGTACGCACTCAGTCCGCGTTCGTCACGCTCGTGTCACGAATTCGCGGCGCGCAAGCAGGCTGACTCCAACCACAAATTTCAGTTTATCTAGATACGCAACTATACTTGAAACTCCTACTATGTCTGTAACGGAAAAACAGTTTCCATTCAAATTACAATTTACGTCACGACAGAATGTACTTCCTGCATAACTAGTTTCCGTTCGTTCGGCGCACGTCAGTTTTTATTCGTTGGTGGCGCACAGGCGCTCCAACTACATTTATTCCATTGAACATGTATACCCAGTGACTTTTTATTTGGTATACCTGCTATATTGTCATTTCTACCTACTACTTATATATTCTTATCCACCATATATATAAGCACGGAAAGCAAAGTAGAATATAGAAGAGTGTCATACTGTTGTTGAGAAGTCGCCTGAACTTAACTGAACTGCGCGAAACTCAACATTTCAATGTAAATTTGATCTGCATAAGGAAAATGGCGTCTAAACGGTAAATGCATTTTTGAATTAGTTAATAAACTATCCGCAAATAAATGATCAGAACAATAATTTTAGGACCTACATTAGCATACTAATTACTTTATTTATACATGAAATTTAAATAAGCTGATATTTTTCTTTAACTGACTTTTACTCTTAGGTTTATGTTTACCAACAGAAGTACTGCGATTATTTAATACATAAAAAAGACACAATAGATCACGATTTATTGTAAAGTAATTAATTTAAAAGGTTAAAAGTATTTTTGAGCATCATTCGTTTGTTACAAAATTTATATTTTCGCGCGCGTTATTTGAAAACAGAATCATCTACGCCATCTAACGGACCAGTAAAAAATTATCGAAAAATTGCGTTTATTCGTAAAATAATGTTTTCACGTATTGCTAAAGTTTGCAAACGGTTTTACAGGTACGACCAAATCAGAAATGTCTTCGCACTGTTCTTGAAATACTATATTCACAAATGAAAAAAAGTACATTGTATAGATTTGCGGCGTGTATTTTAATTAACAATTTTATATATAAAATTTTATCATTTAAGCAGGCACATGAAATGACGGTTAACAAATTTCTTGAATGTAATGCCACCAATCCACAGTTCTGATAATTTAACGAGAGTCAACAAAATGAATAGACGTCTTTGTTCTCTAAAAAAACGATATGCTGTTTTCATATTTCCATGATTAAACGTCGATTTAATGACAGTAGTAATAAGTCAAGACACCATCTGTCACAAAATAATTGAAATTGAATAAGTTAACTCTTCATCAATCCCAATCGATAGTTTATCAACGTGTTATTCAAGATGACAATGTTGACCACTTATCGACCAGGGAATAAGTTATCGATATGAGGATTACTTGAGGACTTGTCGATCACTTATCGACCAGGGAACAAGTTATCGACATGAGGATGGCTTAAGGACCTGTCGATAAGTTTTCGACCTCATATTCGTTTTATTTTACAATACTAGAGAAAACTTAGGAAACCTCCGTTGTGTTCCGATTGAAATAATAAAATTGTATTTCGAGTCGCCAAAAACCATAATCACAGATTCCTTATTTTGTAAGAAAGAGTTTATTTGCAAAATTTGGTCGATATAGGCGCATGACAGTTTTCCACAGTATCGTCACACATGGCAGGCATAATTTATTATACATATAATATTCTAATTTATATGTATAGATGGCGCTTGCAAGTAATTTACCGGTAGCAGTGCGGGAGGAGCATCGACACCAAAATATGCATACTGCCGTCGTTGTGCTTGCGTGGTAACGAACAAATCTGCAATATTCAGCAGCGTGCAACGATATTTTGCACATTTAAATAGCGACAATGTAGTACATATTATTACAAATACTATTATTAGTTGTTACATAACCCTCAACACAGTAAAGTTCATTAGTATCAGTTGTAAAAGCAAGCTCGACATAAACAATAGATAAATCATTTTAAACACATATGCCAAGTGCTACATACAGTATACAGAGTACAAACTACATGTAAGACAAAGCTCTAATAAATGTTAAATAAAGCAATATATTGTCTACTTATTTATAAAACCTTACAAGAATTCCATAATCAAAAAAGTCACATCGAGAAAATTAATAAAACCCCATGTTCACTTCACGCAACTCATTCCCGCCGAATACGAATTCTCGAATTTCGGAATATTGCATTCAAAATAAGTGAAGGCCATTGCAACAATTTATGTAAGAAAAATTCTAAGAAATGGCTCGACCTGCCATCTACACGCGACTTATGTTCTCCTGATACAAATTCCGAAATCGGGACTCTGTATCCGAAACATCATCCAGCAACCTCCTCAGGTCTCATACTCACGTCATATCAAATTACGAAAAGGGCATCCAGGACCCGCTATCCTTCGTGCCACCTCCTCGCACATCATATTCTCCTGATACCAAAAACCGAAATCAGGAACCTTAAATTCAAAACAAATTCGAAAAATAATCCTGCCACCTCCTCGCACATCATATTCTCCTGATACCAAAATCTACATTCCTGACAACAAATTCGAAAAATTATCCTGCCACCTCCTCGCACATCATATTCTCCTGATACCAAAATCCAAAATCCTGACCACAAATTCGAAAAATTATCCTGCCACCTCCTCGCACATCATATTCTCCTGATACCAAAATCCAAAATCCTGACCACAAATTCGAAAAATTATCCTGCCACCTCCTCGCACATCATATTCTCCTGATACCAAAATCCAAAATCCTGACCACAAATTCGAAAAATTATCCTGCCACCTCCTCGCACATCATATTCTCCTGATACCAAAATCCAAAATCCTGACCACAAATTCGAAAAATTATCCTGCCACCTCCTCGCACATCATATTCTCCTGATACCAAAATCCAAAATCCTGACCACAAATTCGAAAAATTATCCTGCCACCTCCTCGCACATCATATTCTCCTGATACCAAAATCCAAAATCCTGACCACAAATTCGAAAAATTATCCTGCCACCTCCTCGCACATCATATTCTCCTGATACCAAAATCCAAAATCCTGACCACAAATTCGAAAAATTATCCTGCCACCTCCTCGCACATCATATTCTCCTGATACCAAAATCCAAAATCCTGACCACAAATTCGAAAAATTATCCTGCCACCTCCTCGCACATCATATTCTCCTGATACCAAAATCCAAAATCCTGACCACAAATTCGAAAAATTATCCTGCCACCTCCTCGCACATCATATTCTCCTGATACCAAAATCCAAAATCCTGACCACAAATTCGAAAAATTATCCTGCCACCTCCTCGCACATCATATTCTCCTGATACCAAAATCCAAAATCCTGACCACAAATTCGAAAAATTATCCTGCCACCTCCTCGCACATCATATTCTCCTGATACCAAAATCCAAAATCCTGACCACAAATTCGAAAAATTATCCTGCCACCTCCTCGCACATCATATTCTCCTGATACCAAAATCCAAAATCCTGACCACAAATTCGAAAAATTATCCTGCCACCTCCTCGCACATCATATTCTCCTGATACCAAAATCCAAAATCCTGACCACAAATTCGAAAAATTATCCTGCCACCTCCTCGCACATCATATTCTCCTGATACCAAAATCCAAAATCCTGACCACAAATTCGAAAAATTATCCTGCCACCTCCTCGCACATCATATTCTCCTGATACCAAAATCCAAAATCCTGACCACAAATTCGAAAAATTATCCTGCCACCTCCTCGCACATCATATTCTCCTGATACCAAAATCCAAAATCCTGACCACAAATTCGAAAAATTATCCTGCCACCTCCTCGCACATCATATTCTCCTGATACCAAAATCCAAAATCCTGACCACAAATTCGAAAAATTATCCTGCCACCTCCTCGCACATCATATTCTCCTGATACCAAAATCCAAAATCCTGACCACAAATTCGAAAAATTATCCTGCCACCTCCTCGCACATCATATTCTCCTGATACCAAAATCCAAAATCCTGACCACAAATTCGAAAAATTATCCTGCCACCTCCTCGCACATCATATTCTCCTGATACCAAAATCCAAAATCCTGACCACAAATTCGAAAAATTATCCTGCCACCTCCTCGCACATCATATTCTCCTGATACCAAAATCCAAAATCCTGACCACAAATTCGAAAAATTATCCTGCCACCTCCTCGCACATCATATTCTCCTGATACCAAAATCCAAAATCCTGACCACAAATTCGAAAAATTATCCTGCCACCTCCTCGCACATCATATTCTCCTGATACCAAAATCCAAAATCCTGACCACAAATTCGAAAAATTATCCTGCCACCTCCTCGCACATCATATTCTCCTGATACCAAAATCCAAAATCCTGACCACAAATTCGAAAAATTATCCTGCCACCTCCTCGCACATCATATTCTCCTGATACCAAAATCCAAAATCCTGACCACAAATTCGAAAAATTATCCTGCCACCTCCTCGCACATCATATTCTCCTGATACCAAAATCCAAAATCCTGACCACAAATTCGAAAAATTATCCTGCCACCTCCTCGCACATCATATTCTCCTGATACCAAAATCCAAAATCCTGACCACAAATTCGAAAAATTATCCTGCCACCTCCTCGCACATCATATTCTCCTGATACCAAAATCCAAAATCCTGACCACAAATTCGAAAAATTATCCTGCCACCTCCTCGCACATCATATTCTCCTGATACCAAAATCCAAAATCCTGACCACAAATTCGAAAAATTATCCTGCCACCTCCTCGCACATCATATTCTCCTGATACCAAAATCCAAAATCCTGACCACAAATTCGAAAAATTATCCTGCCACCTCCTCGCACATCATATTCTCCTGATACCAAAATCCAAAATCCTGACCACAAATTCGAAAAATTATCCTGCCACCTCCTCGCACATCATATTCTCCTGATACCAAAATCCAAAATCCTGACCACAAATTCGAAAAATTATCCTGCCACCTCCTCGCACATCATATTCTCCTGATACCAAAATCCAAAATCCTGACCACAAATTCGAAAAATTATCCTGCCACCTCCTCGCACATCATATTCTCCTGATACCAAAATCCAAAATCCTGACCACAAATTCGAAAAATTATCCTGCCACCTCCTCGCACATCATATTCTCCTGATACCAAAATCCAAAATCCTGACCACAAATTCGAAAAATTATCCTGCCACCTCCTCGCACATCATATTCTCCTGATACCAAAATCCAAAATCCTGACCACAAATTCGAAAAATTATCCTGCCACCTCCTCGCACATCATATTCTCCTGATACCAAAATCCAAAATCCTGACCACAAATTCGAAAAATTATCCTGCCACCTCCTCGCACATCATATTCTCCTGATACCAAAATCCAAAATCCTGACCACAAATTCGAAAAATTATCCTGCCACCTCCTCGCACATCATATTCTCCTGATACCAAAATCCAAAATCCTGACCACAAATTCGAAAAATTATCCTGCCACCTCCTCGCACATCATATTCTCCTGATACCAAAATCCAAAATCCTGACCACAAATTCGAAAAATTATCCTGCCACCTCCTCGCACATCATATTCTCCTGATACCAAAATCCAAAATCCTGACCACAAATTCGAAAAATTATCCTGCCACCTCCTCGCACATCATATTCTCCTGATACCAAAATCCAAAATCCTGACCACAAATTCGAAAAATTATCCTGCCACCTCCTCGCACATCATATTCTCCTGATACCAAAATCCAAAATCCTGACCACAAATTCGAAAAATTATCCTGCCACCTCCTCGCACATCATATTCTCCTGATACCAAAATCCAAAATCCTGACCACAAATTCGAAAAATTATCCTGCCACCTCCTCGCACATCATATTCTCCTGATACCAAAATCCAAAATCCTGACCACAAATTCGAAAAATTATCCTGCCACCTCCTCGCACATCATATTCTCCTGATACCAAAATCCAAAATCCTGACCACAAATTCGAAAAATTATCCTGCCACCTCCTCGCACATCATATTCTCCTGATACCAAAATCCAAAATCCTGACCACAAATTCGAAAAATTATCCTGCCACCTCCTCGCACATCATATTCTCCTGATACCAAAATCCAAAATCCTGACCACGAATTCGAAAAATTATCGTGCCGCCTCCTCGCACATCATATTCTCCTGATACCAAAATCCAAAATCCTGACGAAAAATTCGAAAAATTATCCTGCTATTTTCTTACATCTTATACTCTCCTAATACCAAATTTCGGAATCGGCAGCTCGCTTTTCAAAAATAGTTTGGTAAAATTCCTGTAAATGGCGTCATAGAAATTCTAAAAAGTAGCGCTTGTTCTACCTCTGTACATATCATGTTCTCCTGATACAAAATCTTGAAATGCGGCTTTCTGATATCACATAAATTCTGGAAATTTTTAAACATTAATTTCAAGGAATTGTCGCTATCATAGTTAGACCTTCAAGAACTGGTTTTGGTAACGATTTAAAATAAATAGATATTGATGATTAATTTTTATCTCTTTATTTTTCAATTCATTTGTATACATGTATGCACTTGTATAACATAGTGAAAATCTAGTAACTACATAATATAATTTGAATATATCTAGGTGTATATTTTACAGTAATTTGTAACTTACTTATATAATTGTTATGTGTTGTACTAGTACAATTAATTGCATTAGTTGCTCAAATCTGAGTTGTTTTAATTATACTAATATTATAATATAGAGAGATAACAGTCATACTTATGTAATGACTAATATGTAGTGACGTAATCGTTGTTGTATGCTATGACGAACGTTGAAATCTGTAAAAAAACAAAACCTACTTATTAACTTTCGCTTAAAATAAATTTTGATAAAGTTACAGTTAAATCTCTATCTACAATACTCATAAAACTACTATTAAAATATAAACGAACAACAATACTTTATTATTGTTACCTGTATTGTCTAAAATTCCTGTTACACAATTAAAATTTGCGTGAACTACCAATTAAAAACTAGTACTACTTATTAGAATAATAATGGAATTATACACACTCCTACCTCTATTATACGCGACATCATTTTCAGAGTATCGTCAATAAGGTAGGAAATGATGTGAAAATGGTAAAAATTTTGTTTCGAATCACCAAAAACCGTTATCATTGATGTTTCCTTCTGAAAAAGGGAGCTTATTTGCAAAATTCGGTTCCAATCGAAACATGATGGTATTACGAAGTTTCCCCTTTTTTTTGTATGAACAAATTTTTATATTTGCTTCGAGGAATTTCACTTTATACATATTGTGAAGATAGAGAGATATAGTATGTCCACATCAATAATATAACAAAAGGCCAATGATCATAACAGTCGAGGCCCTTATAAAACCTATCAATCGATCAACCAATCAATATAATAAAAAGTATCGTAATTCACCATTGTATTATTAGGTGGCGATAACAGTTAAATCCTCCACATTGACAGAACGAAAATGAGATTATTGTATTGGTGTTTGTATCATTGATCCCTCATTGTCCGTAAATAGGTTGAGTGAACAAAAACACAATATTGGTATATGTAAATCATATCATATGTAAATCAAGTATTTTACAAGTAAAAGTAGTAGATAACGTTTCTCATAATAAGTTAAATAATGTCCCACTGCTACAAAATTAAGTAGTGAAATCTGAAAGTTGCTCTAAGTTTTATCTCTTATTTGAATTTTAAAACCTGTTTATTTTGCGTATTATATTTGCTCCTTTATCAATATGATTTTAAACACAGTGTTTCGTTCATTAAAAAATATAAAATCGCGTAAGAAATTTTTGTTACCGTTTCTTTGTTATTTTATAGATATATACCATTTAAAATTAACGTATAATTTAATTCTACTTGTTTATATTATGTATAGTTTTTAGTTATTATACCTTCAATTATTTAAAATTATAAATATCGTTTTTAATGATATTAACAAAAATATAACATATTTTAGATATACAATACAGTTGCAAAATGTATAGTACTGGAAATATTTCTGATAAATATAAAATGCTATCGGTATCGGTACCAAAAGAATTTGTTTATATGGTAAAGTTAAATAGACCTGAGAAACTTAATGCTTTAAATAATAACATGTGGAAGTATGTATTTTCTGTTGAATGTTAATTAATTTGATATTAATTACATAATTTGATATTGCTATCTTCATAATTTATAGAGAATTTAAACTTTGTTTTGATGAATTAGCAGTAGAACCAGAATGCAGAGTGATAGTTCTCTCCGCTGCTGGTAAAATTTTTTGTGCAGGTAAATTAAATATTTATTCTATAAATATTTTATCTAATACTGTTATCCATTAACTTATTATAAGATGCATTTTGTAGGTATTGACTTGCAAGATATGATGAATCTAGGTCAACAATTAGTAGAGCACGATGATGTTGCACGAAAGTGTAAAGTTTTACAACAAAAAATAAAGGGTTATCAAGATAGTTTTACTGCAATAGAAAAAGTAGTTAATTATTCATTTAATAAACATATAACTTATTTAAAGCATATTAAAAAATGTCCTGGTTATCTGTTTTTTTAATTAAAATTTTATTTTAGTGCCCAAAGCCTGTAATTGCAGCTGTACACAATGCATGCATTGGAGCTGGTATAGACATGATATCCGCAGCTGATATTCGTTATTGCACTTCTGATGCATGGTTTCAAATAAAAGAAGTAGATATTGGCTTAGCTGCTGATGTGGGTACACTGCAAAGATTTCCAAAAATTATAGGTTCTGATAGTTTAGCTAGAGAACTAGTGTATACTGCGAGGAAATTCACTTCTTCAGAGGCATTACAATGTGGTTTCATTAGCCGTTTGTTTGATAATCAGGAAAGGTAGAAGATTTATACATTCAAATAATATATGATAAAATATTTTTTCTTTATTTTAAAATTAAATTTATTAAATTAGAGATACCTCCCTTTCCTTTCAGTTTATTGGAAAATTCAATGAAACTTGCAGAAGAAATAGCAAGTAAAAGTCCAGTAGCAGTACAGGGATCAAAAATAAATTTAGTTTATTCAAGAGATCATTCTGTCCAAGAGAGCCTGGATTATATTGTAGGTTTCAGTATTTTTCTACCTATAAAAACCAATACATTAATACATGTTTTTCAATTCTTTCATTTTTACAGGCATTACATAATCAAGCTATGCTACAAAGTGAAGATCTTGTAAATGCTACTATGTCTCAAGTTACCAAGACCCCGCCTGTGTTTTCAAAATTGTGATATTTAAATTTCTAAAGCTGTGATATACATTTATATGAATGAGAGATGAATTTTTTACATTTTATACTTTATCTTATCTATCATGAAATTACAATAAAAATATATTTTAAATACTTTTTAAACCATGTTTTCGATACTAACAAATTTTCTTTCTTGTTAGCATGCTTTCCGCAAACAATATCGTTTAGACAGTATTACTGTAATTAACCAAAAAAGTATACACTTTAGTTAATTTCCGAAAAACTCATTAGAAGACTTTCCAATCTACGTTTTTTGGGCATAGCTGCTAGTCTTATAGCCTCTAATTTTTCAGCAATGTCATATACATTCTTTTCGGGTGGTATTTTGACCTATAAGTGACGTGCAGAAAAAATGAACTTTTATGTTTATATGTAATAAATTAATGCATACAAGCAGTAAATTAATATAGTGTTCGTAATTAATTTTATTTGTTTTTGGATCACACGCAATAGCCATCATGTTGTCTATTTCTTCCTTGGAAAATGGTTCTCCAATTTCCATCATTGCTTTTTCTAAAACATCTCGCATAACGTATCCCCGATTTTCAGGATCCAGTAATTGAAATGCTTTTAATAAATCTTCTGGTTCAGCTGGTTTATATCTAAGGAAAATATGTTTTAAGTAAAATCAAACACAAGAAGATTGTTTAGTATATCCTTGTAAAGCTGAAGAACCGTAACTAACTTGCGTTCATTAATAGCTTTGGACATATACTCTTGAAACCTATGTAATGGTACACAATTATTTTCTACATTTTCCACTTCAACTTGTATTTCTTGCAACTCTGCCTCGGTAACAACACATCCCAATGCTCTTATAACAGTTCCCAAATCTCTAACATCTATTTCACCTGTTTTTGCACTATCAAATACATCAAATGCTTCAATGAGTCTTTTATCCAATAATGATGGTTCCTGAATAGACACTACATAAAAATAATAATAATTAAACTAAAATAAAAATATTTATGTAAGAATAGTGCAAAAGATATATTTATATAAAAACATTAAAGTACAATTAATACTATGTTATATTATATATTAGTTTACTTTTATTTTATATAAATATGCGTTAGATCTGAACCCTTATTGGTTTCGTACTTATGTAATTGTTTGATCAATGTAAACTTAGTATATACATACTTCGCAGAGTTTCACGTGTTGTTAATCGTCTCAAAGCAATGCTTTGTCTAATCGATGCCCGACTTGACATTCGCTGAGTATCAGTCATTGACCACGCCATTGTGTATCGCAAATTTTAATTTAAGCACGTTTTACTAATATGGTTATTTATATAAATACAGAAAAAAATGAGGCTTCAGTCTTCGTACAAATTTACTTTTTAAATTAATGTATTATATACAGAAAATAAGTTGTAAATTTAGCGAGTTAAAAATTTGACAATTCCTCCTAGATTTTGTACAAATTACAATTTCAACTGATAGACACATACAGTCACATTATTTCACAGACAATATTCACTTGTTTTAAAAGCGAATGTACAAGTATGATAGATTGTTTATATATAAAATACCAAAAATATTTTCTGGCTAAAATTTCTTAAAAAAAATCAACAGATATATTTTCTGTTTGAAGAATAAGTGTGTTACTTGAAATACTGAAAACGAGCTACTTTAAAAATGAGCAGTTTGTCGGTCTATCTCTGTAAGATCTTCGATTATTTCTTGTACACGTGTTCCAATTTTTTTCGCTACGTCTATTTTTTCATTGTTAGGTAAGTAAAGATAACGCCAAACTAAATCACCGTCAATAATGCCCCTTGCAGGATTACCCTGAGTTCGAATGTAGCTTTTGTAAGTACTGAAAGAAGAAATACTCAATTTATAAAAAAATTATTAATAATACAACCAAGAATTTACGTTAGATATGATAATTACCGATATGCTTTAGGGTTTAAACCAGCAATATGACAGATATGAGTTACCAAAACGTTTTGCAACATGAGCAATCTTCGGTAAGTTTTTTCTGGTACAGGTAAAATGTAACCCAGACTTCCATCAAGAGATGCTAATAAAGTAATGAGATTTAAACGACTTCATTTAAATGCTAAATGAATTTGTATTTACTGCTTAAATTAAACGTACCATACATCGTAACATGCCTTTTATCTGCACCTGAAAAATGTTTCTTATCATTCGCAGGATCTGAAATTCTGCATCTTATACGGAAAAATGTATTGACTTTCTGCCCTAAGTGGAAATCAGCTTTTCTAATTAATTTTTGCCCTCCGAGACTTTCCCTTGATTCTGGTTGATACATGAATAAAGCTATATTGCTTTCACCATCAGCCACAAGGAATCCTAAATTATTATTGTCAATGAGGTATTCGATCGTATACACTTCTGCTGGCCTGAAGTCCTAAACAAATATAAACTCTTTAAAAAATTTGTTTTTATGTAAGGAAGCAAAAGTATAGAAATAATTTCACTTACTCTGCTAACAAGAGATAATGTTCTGTATTCTTCTTGAAATCTTAATAAACTAATCGATTTATATACATCAGCTATTAAAATCAAACTTTTAATGCTTAACATTTGGTGAATATAAATTTGTGTATCTATGAAAGCAACTCCAACAAGATCATTATCCTTTAGTTGCCAAATATAGATTTTCTGTCCTACAGCTGAGACCAGAAAGCCTGATACTTGTGTGATAGCTGTTATTGGACCTTTTTGTTCTTTTGCGTAAATTTGTTTGAATCGATTTTTTGTTAAAGGCTGACCGGGTTCTGGTACAACTTCAATTATATCAAATATAAGTATCTAAAAAATGAATTTAATATTAATCAAAAATAAAGTCTGATATATTGAATGTAAAAAATTAAAAATTTACCCTTCCTCTGCTTGTAATATCTTCACCGTAATTATAATTTGTTCCCAATACTATATAACCTTTCAAACCAGACCGCGTTCCTTCGTAGGCCAAAGATACATTTTTCAGACAAGTAACGTGTTCCCATTGATCAAGTTCGATCTTAGTATTGGGAATAGTTTCCCACGAAACGGGTGAAAATAATACTATACTGAACTGTTCTTGTGACGGGAAGATAAATCTGTCTGGTCGATCTTCTTCTGTAAATTCCTAAATAAAAAGTACCGATAAGAAAAATATTATAAAAATTACATTATTGTTATATTTTTTGTTCATACCTTATCTTCACCGTTAAACCTATAATAACTTTTGAGTGGTTCGGCTATACTCGTTATAACGCAATATGTTTTACTTTCGAGATGATATGTTACGAAATGTGGTGTACATCGCAACGGTACTTTTCTAACAGGCCATGGAGCATCATAGGATAAATGAGTTGGTAAAACGCATATCCTTAATTCTTCCTTAAAATTAAATTAATACAATAGCATATTTTAACTTAGTTTGAATTATACGAAATACTGATGTGTGCTGGTACCTTTCTGTTAAAATACAGAAAACCTTGTGGACAATTTATATTATTGAAAGGTGCAAAAGAGGTAATAGGACCATCAATACCCATTGGATGGGTACGCAATTCACCGCGTCCTGTGAGAAATATCCAATGAGGATAATCACTACAAATAAACACACCATTATATCCAGCAATATTACTAAAATAGCGCATCATACAATGGCGAGTTTCGTTCATCGCAGACATATCTTCTTCTTTCGGTTTAGGTCTATAAAATAAAGTTAGGATGAATTATATAAATCAAAGTTGCATTTCAATAAAAAATATTTATACCTTAAATTTCCTGGAATTATTCCGTGATCTAATTTCTTAAATCTTAATTTTAAATGACCTTTTGGGTATCTATACGTTTGATAAATTTGAAGCTCAGAATCTAATCGCACTAAAAGCATTGGCCTATTTCCATGATGACCCAAAGCTACCATTAAAATTTCACGCACCTAAAGAAAGTAGGAATTATTTATTTAAATAAGATTAAATTCGCTATATTTACAATACCTGCATTTCAGGATTAGGAATTTCATTGACTGGCGCCGTTTGTAATGTCGTAGATTCCATACTGTCATGTAATACATATTGTCCATATCCGAAATTACGAATAAGGTAAGATAAACGTAAATCTGGAAGTGAGTAAATTTCTAACGTTCCACTATCTCTATATACCAATAACCAATATGTCGGTTTTATTTCTTGTAAATGTTTTTGCCACCTGTTAAATAAATATTTATTTCTTATTATTAGAAAAATAAATGGAATAAGTTAAATAATTAATATTAAAAGTAGGACTGTTAAACAGATAAACATACCAAGGAGCTCTTTTAGATGTCCCTTCAGATGATTTAGTTTGTGATGGTGCAGGCATTTGGAAAGCTGGTCCATCACCATAAAGAAGATCATCCTCATTGTCAATATTACCAACGATAGGTGGCTCTTCGGTGTTATGTTCCTCCTCGGGTACTTCATCTTCTACATTTTCAGGTAACTGTGTTGTAAATATTCCACTAACATCTCTATAAGCACATAATGCTTCTATTTGGGGTCGCTGAAAAGTAAATATTTCATTATAATCATACATACTATTAAGTAGACCATATAGAATTAATTTTATTAACTTACGAATAATAGATTAGCTGTTTGCGCATGTAGTTTTGCAGTTCCACGTCCTTCTCTGAGAGTTAATAACATAACTTGCCCATCTTCAGAAAGCAATGATACATAAGGATCTGCGCAACTTGCATGTACAATCGGACATCCAAGATCTATAGGCATGTGTTGGATCTATAATTTTGATACATGAATCTAATTTCATGCAAGTATCCAAACAAATACTTTGTTCATTGCATTATCTTTAAGTATACCTGCTCAATTCCTTGCAAAAGACGTACACCCATTTGAGTAACTTGTACTATGTATCTATTTGCGCCAAGGTTTCCAGCAAATACGGTACTCCCCTGTGTGCTAAATCCACTCTGATCTACTTCATTGATTTCTTGACCAGTTTGTAATATCTAAAGCGAATTATAATATTACATAATTGCAAATAGAATTGTAAGATATTTGTATGTAAAAAATGAATACCATTGTTGAGTCTTCTTGACTTAAAATTAGAAAAGCGTGAGATCCTTCAGCTTCAGGTCTCACTTGTTCATCATTATTTAATGCACCAATAACAGTCCACATATCTTCACATCCTGGTAGTTCAAATGTAGTTACAACCTGTTTTAAAATTTAACAAACGTTTTTATTATTAAAATAAACAATAAAAACGTTGTAATATAGAACAATTCATTACTTGCGGGCGAATGGAACGTTGAAGGACGCATAGGGCACCATTTTTACCATATCCGGAAGTTGTAACAAGTTCAACGTCGGGATCTTGACTATGTGAAAATTCTTCGGATAAGAAAGCTGGTTCACCCATAGATATATTACCACAAGGTCCAATATTTAATAAACTATCACATACCTTCAAAAATTTAATCATATAAATATCTGCCACTGATTTTTTCATTATACCATGTTTAAATACCTCAAATATATATGATGTAATCTGGATAGAAGTATGCGTTTCGCTTCCATATACTTCTAATTCTTCTGGATCTTTTATATCTAAGACATCAGATGCCATCCAATCTCCTATAAAATCTTGTTTCACCTTTTTCGCCGGAGTTTCTTCAGTTTCATTTTCTTCAATAGTTATTTCATTTTCATTCATGTTCTGTGAATTTTCTGATTCTTTTTCGATAAATCTTAATAAAAGTGAATTGCCGAGACGTGATCCCAAGAACAAATAATTGTCATCACACATGCACACCTATAAATTTATTCATGTTACAAACTTTTGTCTGAAAGAAAAGTATATGTATTACAAAGAACTCGAATTTGAAAATATACTCACGCACGAAGTTAAAACACTCGCTGCAGCTTTATCAAAATGAAAACCTCTAACGGAGCGCATACTATCAGCAAACAAAGATAATACATACAATTCTCCACTCTTTAAAGAAATGACTAAACGATCTGAAGATATAAATGCAACTTGAGAACCTTCTAAACTGATTTTAACTCCTTCTTGTGGTTCTACAATTATAAAACATATGAAATAATTCATGTACTTCGTTCTAAATAGCGTATTGTAATATGCATTAAATACATTGCTAATACTAACTTAATGGAAAATTTGTACTAGTTTCTGCTAAGCTATTTAAAGAAACCCCATAAGGTGGTATACTTTGGTTTAAATAAATAAGAGAATTAACTGCCATAATTAATGTTCCACCAAGTGGTTTTTTTACTGGTACTGCTTGATAGCAATCAAATGGTAAATTTGATACAGACCAAATTATTGGGTGCACTCTCTGTTGAATATTTAATGATATTGCAACCATAGCACAAGTATCTTGTCTGACTGCGATACGTCTAAAATATTGTATTATTACATTTGTTAACAAATAATTGTGTTAAAAGTTATATAAATCAAATTAAAAATTTATAAAGCTTACCCTGAAAATGTCCTTACTGGTTCATACAGTATTAATAGTGTTGGTTCATAATAACCATGTAAAAATTGCAAGTCTATTATATTATCCATTTTTTCTTCTAAACTCTTTAGAACTATCATATACGATGACAGTATAGGGGTTTTATTAGATGATGCTTTTGAATTATCTAATAAATCTCCATCATCAAGACTTGGATCTTTTTTAAAAGGCAATACAACTAATTTTCTACCATATATTAACATTACAGCACATCTCCCCTCAGGATCTACTCTCACTATTGGAATATGATGATGATTTGTCCACCCATCCTAAAGAAATATAAGAGATTATTTCATTATTTTTCACAATCTAACGTATTTACAATTGTCACTTAACATCTAGCCAACCACATACATATATCAAATCTTAATCTCAAAACAAGAAAATTTTCCTGCTTGATTAGCTAAGTATTAAGGCAAATATAATCCCTTATAGTCTACATATCATATATCTATAATTTATATGATATTAGATATAATTTTAAATACATATTACCAAAACATACTACCCAATATTATGAATATGTGACGCTAGGCCTTAGATACTTCTTATGTACTTTTTTAATAAATATGTTGAACAATTATATGATAAACAACTAAATATAATTACCCTTATTTCTTCTTCTTCAAAATAATGTAAAGATACTGTTCTAAGATCGTGTATATCTTGATCATATTCTACAACAGATAACTTTGCATCGCGAAAGCTTAACAGAAGAGAATCCCTCTGAGATCCAACCAGAGTTACAGCTTGCATTGACATTACGTTACCATGTAAAGTATATTGAGCCAAACATTCTAACTTCATTTTTGGGGGACGAGATTCTAAGAGAAAAGTAATCAATTTTATAATTTTGTAATACGTTTTAAATTATAAATAAACGTACCTGTATATTTCTCTCTTTTTGTTATATCCACGTCTGGTATTAAACGAAATACTCTGATAATATTCCCGCCGGCTACAACGAGACATTTTTCGGTACGATTAAAAAAATAACACGTTATCGCATGTTCTACTCCTGTAGCCGGATGAGTATTTTTACATATCGAATACATTTTCAGTTATATTTACTTATTATTACAAAAACATATTCTGTAAAGGTTAATATACACAACACATTTCTTAGAATATTGTCATCTGAAGTATGTTGCTTATGTATGGTTTAATATCACTATTTTACGGGTGTACCAATACATGAAGTAGGAAAATCTCTATTTTAAATTCTCTATATAGTTATAAATTGAATGAAATTTTGGACAAGTTGTGTATGCTTCTGTACAATTAGTAGGTTATGGTACAATCAATTAGAGTAGAGAAAGAAACATTATATAAAACATATTGGATCAATGATACAGCTGTACTGTTTTATTACATGATAAAAAAGAAGCATGCAGTAATTTGCATATAAAAGCGCCTTGTTTTAAACTTTGCGCCAACTATTTTATTCGCCATATTTGACAAACAGTAAAATCATAAAGCTTCCATTCTTAAAAAATTAGTTCATTGCATTCAATGACCTCTGACTCCTATACGTAGTATTTGGTAATGGATTATAAAAGGGTCACCTTGAAATGTCATAAAATTTAGTAAAGTTCGCGTTTTGTCATTCTTTATCCGGCACTACATAAAAAAGTAATTATGGGAGGAAAATGGTCGAGCATGGATCCTTCCCAAGTGGAAGTGCCAGAAATAGGTGCTTTATTAGAAAGAGATCCTTATTTAAAACCTTATGAAAATGAAATTCGTAAAAGGTATTATGTGTGCAACATACACAAAGATATTACTTAATATAATTACAAGTAGTAATTTATAATTTATATTACTGTATAATACATAAGTCGTTGGAGGTTTTTGACCTGCAATCAATATCTAATTATTTAATTTATTATAAATTTATTATGTATACTTGCTATCAACTTCCATACGTTAATAATTTTTTACATTAATTTTAATTTCTAACAAATGTTTTATTTACTAGATATGCATTATTCAAAGATTACATGGAAAAATTAGAAACTGGTGATGGCAGCTTAGAAAAATTTTCAAAAGCATATAAAAACTTTGGAATTCATATAAATGAAGACAATAGCGTTACTGCAAAAGAATGGGCACCTGGTGCACAAGAATTATTTTTAACAGGAGATTTTAGTAAGTGAACTTAAATTGTATAATTAAAATCATATAACAGATATCTTAATTTTATTTTACATTTTCATTATTAGATAACTGGAATAAAACAGCTAACTCATATAAAAAGTTAGAATATGGAAAATGGGAATTATATTTACCTCCTAATGCCGATGGTAGTTGTCCTATAAAACATCTTTCAGAAGTTAAAATAATTGTAAAGGATCACAACAATGAATTGTTGGAACGATTAAGTCCTTGGGCTAATTATGTTACACAAAATCGTGCTGAAAGTGCTACGTATAAACAACGTATATGGCATCCATTATCTAAAAATGTATATATATCTATAAACTTAAACTAATTTTGATTCATAGTAATTATTATTAACTTAGAATTTATTTTCATACAGACTTATAGATTTAAATACCCCAAGCCAAAAAAACCAGAAAGTCTTAGAATTTATGAATGCCATGTTGGTATTGCAACTCAAGAATTAAAAGTTGGTACATATTTAGAATTTGCTAAAAATGTAATTCCTCGCATTGTAAAACAGGGTTATAATGCAATACAACTAATGGCTATTATGGAACATGCTTATTATGCCAGTTTTGGATATCAGGTATATGTCTATAATAAATACTAACAAATGCAATTAATTTATTTAAAATAACTATTTAAAACATTTTATGTTAGATATAAATTTTCATATGTATTGTAGACATAATAAATAATAATGAAACTTTTTAAGGTGACTTCCTTTTATGCAGCTTCATCGCGTTATGGTACACCAGAGGAATTAAAAGAGTTAATAGATGTAGCACATGAACATGGACTATTTGTTTTACTAGATATGGTGCATTCACATGCATCAAAGAATACTTTGGATGGGTTAAATATGTTTGATGGTACTGATGGTTGTTTCTTTCATGCTGGTAATCGTGGTCAGCATCCGCTTTGGGATAGTCGGCTCTTTAATTATGGAGAATATGAAGTATTGCGATTTTTACTTTCTAATTTACGATGGTACATCGATGAGTATGGTTTTGATGGATTTAGGTATTTATATATTGAAACTTGTATCTTAGTACAAAGTTTATATTGTATATCTTTGTATAGTATACCATGTTAAATTTATGTAGATTTGATGGCGTTACATCAATGTTATATCACTCGAGAGGATTTGGACAAGGTTTTAGTGGCCATTACGATGAATATTATGGCCTAAATGTTGATGTTGAGGGTGTAGTATATTTGATGCTTGCAAATCACATGTTGCATCATTTGTATCCAGAAATTGTTACAATAGCAGAAGATGTTAGTGGAATGCCTGGAGTATGCAGGTATTTAGTTTTTGTAGCCCTAATTAATTTTTATTATTGTATTACAATTACTAATTCTTTTGTATGAATATTCAAGACCTGTCTCTGAAGGTGGTGTAGGATTTGATTACCGATTGGGTATGTCTATTCCTGACAAATGGATTAAGTTGTTGAAAGAAGTAAAAGATGAAGATTGGAAAGTTGGAGACATTTGTTGGTCGTTAAGTAATCGAAGGTGGATGGAGAAAACGGTAGCTTACGCGGAATCTCATGATCAAGCTCTCGTGGGTGATAAAACAATTGCATTCTGGCTTATGGACAAAGAAATGTATACTCATATGAGTATAATGAGTCCGCCAAATCCGATCATAAGTCGTGGAATTGCTCTTCATAATCTTATTACATTAATTACACATGCATTAGGAGGAGAAGCGTATTTAAATTTTATGGGTCAGTTACACAATTATTTTATATATCTATTAGAAAATCGTCACTGTTTGTAGACGTATAAATTACAGGTAATGAATTCGGTCATCCTGAATGGTTGGATTTTCCTCGAGCTGGTAACGGGGATAGCTATCATTATGCTAGAAGGCAATGGAATTTAGTTGACGATGAATTGCTGAAATATAAGTTTATGAATAATTGGGACCGCGCTATAAATACTCTTGAAGAAAAATATGGATGGCTACATGCTCATCCTGTACGGTTTACTTATATTAAAAAATTGTTTTATTTATTCTGTACTTCATTTATTAAAGACGTGTATTTTTTACAGGCATATATAAGTTGGAAACATGAAGGAGACAAAGTAATTGTTTTTGATCGGGCAGAACTTATATTTGTTTTTAATTTTCATCCGGTACAGTCATTTCCGGATTATCCTATTGGCGTAAAGACTGCAGGAACTTACAAAGTTCTTTTGTGTAGCGACAATAAGGATTTTGGTGGCGAAAATCGTGTTGATACCAGTATACAACATTTTACCCAACCAGAATCATTTTCTGATTATTCAAATAAAATGTTGATTTATATTCCTTGTCGCACAGCTATTGTCTACGTCCGAGGTAAGATTATTTGTAATAATTTTCATTACTTTATATTGATTATAGTAACCATTAGGTAATAGTGTTAATAATTTGTTAATTTCAGAAACATAAGGACAATTATAAGGACTGATGATTATAGTTACAAGAACTGATTTTAAAGCATCATATATAAATAAAAACAAGCTTTTCTTCCTGTAAAATCAATGTATAGAATTTAGAAGTTTTTGAAGAATATTTTATTAATTTAGACATTGATGAAGGAAATTACAAATTATAGAATACTCGAATGTTGAAATTTTTTAAAATATGTTTTTTTGTATTTTGTCAAATGTTGTGTATATATTAAATAATGTTAATATTGATAGTTATATACATCTCAGCTGACATATTTATGTTTTGATACTATATTTTTGGAATCTACAAGTATACGAAATAAAAATATGTTTTGTAATTTATGTAGTAGTTTTTTTATAACTATTCATCAGTTTATTGGTGTGTACAACAAAGTTTATAATATATTAAGCGAATCATTTAGGAAGTGTCTTTTGTGTAATTTGTATTTTCATAAACCTTGAAGGGACTTTCAATTTTTCAAGTCGATATTGCTAATAAGATTAATATTATTAAATACATAATAAATAATTGTTATCATGTTTAATTGATTTATATAAATGAGACAAACATATTCGTTAATCTTTTTTTAAATTAACTATTTTATTCATCATTTATGTTACTAAATTCTGCTTCATTTACATCATAATCTTTCATTTTGCTTTCTAAAACCCACCATTTATCCAATATCCCAAAATCTACTATTCTTTGATAAAAGGTAGTATATTGTACTTGTAGATAAGGACAAGCAGCTTTGTATGAGGAATATGTTTTATCGTAGTCGTCTAGCCAAATTAGAGAAATTATACCTAAATTCATTCGTCGTACAATCCCTTCATTGTAACATTGTCCTAACCATTTTACATGTTTTTCAGACACTGGATTTCGTACAGCTTCTCCAATTTGCATTATTTTTATAGTACTTTGTAATAACTGTTCTCTGAAGGAACTTTCATCTGGATTATGTTTGTGTAAATATACACCGGTTGCTAAAACTAATTTAAAAGAAAGCTTTTTATAAAATAATATTATATTTTTTATTTATTTCTTTTTCTAATTCAAATAAGCATTCAGTCAAATAAAATAAGAAATTAATTATAGTTGTTTACGTTTAAATAATATATAATATTTAATCTCATTTAATTAAATTTAGACATACGTGTAGCATATATGGTAGCTTTTATTGGACGTTCCTTGCAGTGATTTACAGTATCTACTACTGTGTTCGTATAATCTATACAAACACTCTTCCAATATATTCCTATAACAAAGAAATTGAAATGGAAAGTATTTCAGATGACACATTTCTATTTTACTTTATAGTTATAAATTACTCACCCCATCGTTCAAGAAATGTTCCTTTTAGTTTCTCCGGTGTTTCAAAATTCTGAACTTTATGCAATACATTATTAAGAGAATTTATCACCTTTGAGGTAAGTTTATGCCTTCGAAATACAACAACTTTACCGTAATTCATATTGATTTCAATTAATATAACAAATTTAAATCTAATGTAACATCATTCAAAATATACAATGTATACTGCAATGTATTATTATGTTATTACATGAAACATAGGTCAAACATTAGTTCATGCATTGTGAATGGAAGTGAGGTTATCCACGTGAACGAAGAAAATAACAAAATATATTTACATTTGCGCTAAAAAAGTTTGTTTATAAATGCTCTTAACATGTAATTGTACAGCTCGTAGAAAAGTGTATGAGAAATGTTTTAAATATTTCATTAAACACACCGGATCGTATCTTATAATGTCGCATACGTTATTGAGAGCAATGTTATGCAAAACACTAAAAATATATATGAGAATACTGATAGATATAATTAAAATAAGTATATAACCAACTTATAGAAATTATATATATATTTTCTTAATCTTCAATCAGTTTCTGATTACTAAAATTAATATTTTGACAACTTTTTCTAACCATAGTGACTTGACGATTCACAAGGTTATATAAACGTATCAATACATAAGCAAAGAATTAAGAAGTATCAAATTTCTATTTAAGAATTCGTGTAGCATTAATAGGTAAAACAAATATTGAATACTAACAATTATGTTATAAATTGCTAATGTTTATAACAATGTATAAAATAGTTATAATAACAAATACAGATGCTTGAAATCATCGGACTTAAATTAATAATTATGATGTTTTTATAAATGAAATATTTATAAATGAAAATATGGCTATATTCTTTGAAATTTTATTTATAGAAATATACCGTCTTTTGGGATAGTTTATATAAAATTAAAGACATAATAAGCCAACAAATAATCACCTGTACCGTCAATTTTTTGAAACAAAAAGAAAGTAAAATTTATTTTAAATAGATAAAATTCATTTTATAAGTGAATTAAAATTCATCTAAGAAAAGAATATTGATTAACAAATAAGTGTAGCATAAAGGCAGTCGATTTTCTGCTATGTTGGAGTTAATTATGACTCATTTTAAGGGACGGAAGTGATGACGAATTATCAGGTTCCGTGAATCAAATTAAATACGACGTAAACCTTTCACGCAAAGTTAGCTTATGGAATATTCAAATGAAATTTCATGTTCACACTTGTGTTATATGCAAATAATTAATTTTTAATGAAATTTAAATTGCATATTCTGCATATTTCGTTTAAACAGAATATTACAATTAAGTAAGTGAAAAAAAATTAAAGTGACAGCTTCGAATAAAATTTCTGAAAAAATAATGTCATTATTTTATTAACACTTAGAATACTAGAGTACATATAATATTTTAATAAGTGGTTACTTTATTTCGCAATTAAGTAAATTTCATAATCTTAGAGCTTGCCCTTGGAACGTGTAGTAGAAACTTCAGATAATCAATATTATAGTGCTGTTGATATTGCAGTGTTCTGGGGTTCAGTATATACATATTGTCAATATAATATCAGTATTTCAGTATTATTGACAAATATTAACTCTAAATATCCAAATCCTAAATTTTAATGAATAAAATCTCTAAATCTTCAAATTTCGAAGTTTTAAATTTTAAGTTTATAAATTTCCAATTTCCAAATTTCCAAATTTCCAAATTCCTAAATTTCTAAATTCCTAAATTTCCTAAATTTCCTAAATTTCCTAAATTTCCTAAATTTCCTAAATTTTCTAAGTTTACTAAATTTCCAAATTTCCAAATTACAAAATTTCAAAATTCCTAAATTTTCTAAATTTCCGAAGTTTCCTAAATTTCCTAAATTTCCTAAATTTCCTAAATTTCCTAAATTTTCTAAGTTTACTAAATTTCCAAATTTCCAAATTACAAAATTTCAAAATTCCTAAATTTTCTAAATTTCCGAAGTTTCCTAAGTTTACTAAATTTCCAAATTACAAAATTTAAAAATTCCTAAATTCCTAAATTTTCTAAATTTCCGAAGTTTCCTAAGTTTACTAAATTTTCTAAATTTCCTAAATTTCCTAAATTTCCTTTTCCAATATTTTCAATATTTCTAATATTTCCAATATTTCCAATATTTCCAATATTTCCAAATTCCCAAATTCTGAAATTCCAAATTTGGAAATTTAGAAATTTAGAAACTTTGTAATTTATGAACTTGAAAATCTGCAATCAATGTTTATTGAAATATTGCCTAAATAATGACAGTATACTAACTGTGTACATATTAATGAATATGCATTATGAATTTGTACATATTTCAGAACTGCTAACATTATTAAATATATTACAAATTAATTAATTTATTAGCATTATTTAAAGTACTAAATAATTCATTCGATAGAAACTAAAATACTTTTCGTGTTGACAATATATTGATAATAATAAATGTACAATTTTTCTTAGATAGTTATAATTTATTACCAATATTACCAATATGATTTATTACCAATAACTTAAGAGCAGAAATAAACAATTTTGAAATTTTTAAATAAATTTTAAACTTGCTTTATATTTGTAAAAGAGTTTAGTACAAATTAAAACACTACCATTGTCAATAATTTTTATAAACAACAAGACTTAATAAGTATTTTGACAAACAAGTTTTTCCATATTTCACACTTGCTATTTACTTACCATCTTTTATTAAATGTTTTATTAAATGACATAAAGGGTTTAAATCGATTTCTATCTTCAAAAATATCAGTGATACAAAAAATATTTCAAATAAAATTTCTTCAAGATTTTGATTCTTTCCTCAAGAAAAAAGGACATGTGGCAAAGTTATTCACCAAAAAGTCAGTTTCCGTCTACATAAATGAGCAAGGAACTACAAAAATTTTAACTTCATTTCTTTAAACGCAAGTATATATTATTTACCACACGAGCTCATTACTCTTCATACAAAAATGTTAAAACATTCATAGCAAAAAGCATCAAGTACGTCAATTTAAACGGGACACTCTGTACATGCAAAGCAATTAACGCGTCGATCCTTTGTGAACACTGTGTGGTTTTATAGAGCTCGCCAGATTAAATCAATGACGTCCAGCGAAATTTCAAACTTTCCTCACTAAAATCAACCTTTAGAACACTTTATGTATCGCTAATATTTTGAAAAATATTCGTAGCAGGAAAATTTAAATACACCCTGTACATTGATTGTTTTAGCGGTCTTGAGTATCTATCACGAAGTTGTTAATAGAAATTGTAAGGTATTTTACTGGCAACATTTTCTTTAGAATACTTTATGTATCGCTAATAATTTTTAAAAATATTCGTAGTAGGAAAATTTAAACAGTACACCCTGTACATTGATTTTATTGGTCTAGAGTATCAATCAAGCTGTTAATAAAAATCGTAAGGTATTTTACTGGCAACATTTTCTTTAGAATACTTTATGTATCGTTAATATTTTTAAAAATATTTCTAGTAGGAAAATTTAAATACACTCTATTGATTGTTTTAGTAGTCTGGAGTATCAATCACGAAGTTGTTAATAAAAATCGTAAGGTATTGGCAATATTTTCTTTTGAGATTGCTCTTCATCCTTTGAGGTTACGTGTCTTCGTTAGGGGGCTTTTATTTAGTTGGTACGTGCGTGTTAACCGACAAGCAAGGGAACCCATTGATGGGTTACTCACCGCGGACGACGCTCCATCGATCGCGTCGCTTGCGAGCAGAGGAACCATGGGCACAGACAATGATAGAGCAAGAAAGAGCACAAAAGCCAGACAGAGAACTTCCCCCATGTCGACGTTCAACCCTGCAATGGTCGCTCTTGAAGGGTGTATTTTATGTTGAACAGGAGGAAATAAAGAGTAACAGGGATGGAAAGGAGATAGACAAAGCACAGGAAAAATGAGTTACAAGAAATGCGATTGAACGAAGAACAAAATGAGTATGGTACACTCGGGTGTAATGTTGGATTTTTCTGAATAACGATGAGGATAAAAGGAGCAGTAAGCTTAAAAGTATTCAAATACAAGTGCATAAGCTTTTGAACACCATCAGCTTTTCTGTAGATTGCTATTTGCATTTAAGTTTACAAAAAAAAACACAAATTTTTGAACTGTTAAATTTTCTATTTTTACTGAATTTTCAAATTTTCTAATTTACAAATTATTAATTTTCAAATTTTTTAAATAACAAGTTTACAAATTCTTAATTTCTTAAATTTTTGAAATTGATGTTAAATTGAATCGACAAATTTGTAAATTTTTTAAATAATGAAGTACCAAATTCTCAAATTTCAGTATTCTCTAAATTTTTAAGTTTCTAAGTCCCTAATTTTCAAATTTGTTTATTCCCAATTTTCGAAAATTTCAATATTCAAATCTTTGAAGCCTTAAATTACCAAATACCAAAATTCTTAAATTCTCAAATTCTTGTTTTTCCAAATTCCTAAATTCAAGTAGAGTTCTCAAATCTTCGAACTCTTATTTTGTCAAATCTCCAAATTCTCAAATTTCCAAGTCCTTAAATTTTCAAATTTTTAAATTCTCAAATCTCCAAATATTTAAACGCTCAAATCTCGAAATTCCAATTCCTAAAATTTCTAAGTCCTTAAATTCGCAATAATTTCTAAATCCAAAAATTCTAAAATGTGAAAGCTCGTTATTTGAAACATTAAAGTATTGTTAAATTCTCCTTCCCTTGTACCTATGATGTATTGTTTCATTATTCTTGAAAATCACTGATTTTCGTTTCAAATTCCCAAACCACTATGCAATCAATCAAACCTACATGCATTCTTATCAGCTTTGAACGACATACAGGTTTAAATAAAATTTTTGTACAGGCATCCTTCAAATAACACGTTTAAGTGGTTCCGTGTTATTCGAAACCAGGTTTTTCCAGTAACAAGGTTCTTTTCTACTCGATTCACCTTTTATATACATATAATACCATATAATATTAAAATATTATGCAGGCTTTCTAAAGCTCGACCCCACCCTTATATTTCGAAAGCTAAAATTTAAACCATATACTATCCTTATGTTTAAACATGGACAAATATTTCAGACAAAAATTATAGAATATTAAGAGGTTCATAAGATGGTGATAACAATTTGACCTTGGATAGTCTGAAGGTCACGCAAACATCATCTTCAGTCTATTAAATAAAATCCCTAAGTGTATTCTTGGAGACCTCGCCGAAACGTTTTCAAAACATCTATGTTTGTTTTTTGTGCAAGTCATTCTCAAGATATGAACCTTCAAAGTTGACATATCCTCGACATTCACATTATCCAAGGTGTACCGCGTGAAGGTTGCACGATCAGATTTACGCCACTTATGTGTCAACATTGAAGCTTCATATATTGGGAATGATTTGCACAAAAAACAGACATGGGTAGTGTTTGGAAAACGTCTCGACGAGGGTATAAGAGTATGCAATAAAAATGGGGAGTTCTATTTCAGAAACTGA